AGTATCATGATACTGTATCGTCAAAGGTCTCACGGTAATAACGTGGGCACTCACAAACATTTCTTTGCATAAATGTATTGTTATAGTACAGCTTTAACTAAAAAAACAGAGAGAACTACATATCCCATGATCCTTTGCTTTCAGTCCAAGTTATTAAACACTTTTAAATCTTAATTATTTGGACTCTAACAGGAAAGTAGCATATTCACAGTTTTGTTAGCCTCCACAAAATATCACAATAAATATCATACCCAGAGATGCATATTGTGGAAATATTGTATCTGGAGAATTGAATATTGTTACATCTTTACAATTGATGCTGGCTATTTACAGACAGTATTAGGCAGGTGGTCAGAATATTATGGCTGATCTGTCTAAATTGTTAGCTTTACTCTAAGGCCTTATGTTTGTATGTTCATAATGACATTGCTTTTGTTTAGTACTTGCTGACTGCACCCTGGTTAGATGCTAAAACTGCATTTTTTTACACTTTTTTTTTTTATCTTCTTTTGCCTTGCAGAGCACAGAGTAGAAGTCCAGTTCTCAGCTCTGAAGCAGGAAGGGAATGATTGTGTAAAAAAAGGCGAGTACAAAGACGCTGTGGGGAAGTACACGGAATGCCTTAAGCTGAAGCCGGAGGAGTGTGCCATCTACACAAACAGGTCTGAGGCTGCATGTTTCACTTTTATTTCCCTTAATAGAACTTCTGTTACTGTAACTCTTTGCATTCAATAGATAACCTTAAAACAAACAACTTTTTAATGTGTAATTTAAAAGTTGTTTGTTGCCAATATGTAAAAAATATTGTTACCAATCCAAACCAACTTAAATAAATTATTTAACTGATATAAGAATGTTAGTGTTATCAATAGAGTAAAATTATGGTATTTTTTTTTAAATCTCTGGAATCAGATCCAAATTGGCATATCATTCAAGAAGCAGCTGGTTGATTTTTGGCTACATTAACGTCATAAACCATTCATATGTTCTCGAATATTCAATAAACTCACAGTGGACAGGTTGGACTAGATTCATGGTCACCTGGTCAACCATTCATTTTCACAAGAGGGAGAGATTTTACCAAGTCAATAGCCAAATAAACAATTTTTGGACATGGATAGTTTATTTTTCTTGAAAATGTTTAAAAATGTAATTAAATGCTAGAAGTAAACAGTTTTATATGTTTAGTTAATTTATATAAAGATCCACACATGCTTTTTATATAAATGCTAATTGATATCATTTACATGTAGAGCCCTGTGCTACTTGAAGCTTGAGAGGTTTGCAGAGGCCAAACAAGACTGTGATGCAGCCCTGAAGTTAGAGCCCACCAATAAGAAAGCCTTCTACAGACGCGCCATGGCCAATAAAGGGCTCAAGGTAAAGGGGGAGATAAACGTGTGGGGATGTGATTAATAAAAAATTACATTCTACGACCGAAAATGTAAACCAGACCAGTACATGAAATACATTTGTGTGTGCACTCTAGGACTACTTGGCCTGCAGTTCAGATTTACAAGAAGTGCTGCACCAGGACCCCAATGTCCAGGAGGCCGAGAAGGAGCTGGAAGAGGTCACCGTGCTGCTGAGACAGAGCCTGGCTAATGCAAACACTAATGCTAACAGTAATGCTTCACCAGCCAAAACCAGGAAGAGCGTCCCCATTACAGAGGTACAATACAGCTATCACTACAGTAAACCATCACAGGGCAATAAGGAGTTTCAGGCATTAAAAACTCCAGTGTAACCACCACTGTTGTGTAATGCTTTAATACAGGATGTGTGAACTATGTTGCGTGGTTGTGACATTTTAGAAAAAATGAACTCAAATGTCACTCAAGAAAAGGGGAAAATGGGAACAAGTGAGGCTTTGTACTTTCAAGCTATACAGTAGCTGTTTATTTGTAGGCTCGAAGTAATGTTTTGTCCCTGTACACAAAAAAATTAGAATTAAAAAACTGTATTTTGTTTTTTATCCAAATTTACTGTATTTTGGTTTTTTTTTATCCAAATTTTAATACTTGATGTTGAGGTTCTAACATTTTTCTCAGTTCATCTGTGCACAATGGATTTCTTTCTCTCATGAGGCTGAGGCTCAATTATAGTCTCGGCTATGGGATGTAGGGTGATGCCCCGGTGCCTTTTCCCAGTTCAGACAATGTCCCACATTGTCACTGATAATATATGTATTTTTTACTCACAAAGAAATCAAAGCTTTTTGATGTTGTAATATGTTGGACCTATTGCTATTCCAGTCTGTGCATTACGATTGAGAAAAATAGAAAATCTTGTGTTATTGCAGTAATTATTTATGAGCTAAAAAGACTCAGTCCTCCCAGTCCTCCCATGTTCCACCACATTCAGCAACCTGTCCTTTATCTACAATTTCAGGTGGTCACCCTAGCCACTCGACTACCTGGGAACACACACTTAATTTTCATCTAATTTGACTTTACTGCCCCATAGGTGGATGGGGAGGACACACCCTCAGCTCCTGACAGCAGAGGAGAGAACAGCAGTATTAACCTTAACCCTTCGAACGCCTATGAGTTTGGACAGGCTCTGAGTGCAGCCCGCTGCAGTGGGGACACACAGGCCTGTGCTGAACTGTTAGCCTCTACCCCTCCCCAAACCCTGCCCCAATATCTGAGCACCCAGCTGGATGGACAGACCATAATATTCCTTATGAACGCCATGGATACACATCTACTACAGAGAGATCCAGGTCTGGTCTACCGTCACCTGTGTCACCTCCACACAGCAGACAGGTTCAAGGTAAGAAGGGGCATCAAATAATACAGTGTTATTATAAGACAACGCTTTAGTTTAGTTTGAGTCGCCTTTTATATGGATTGAAGCTAATTAAGTTATCAGTTGGCGTAGTGGTGTTCCTTCAAACCTCAGTTTTCACTATTTCCTGCCTGAGCTGTTATGACGTTACCATGCTTTTGTCAACAGGAATGTTTAGTCATTCATTTGAAGTACTTGTACTTCACTAAAGGGAGCCTGTCCCACGTGCTTTGGGAAAAGGGTGTAGCCCTAGACAGTTGCTTGTTAATCAGTGGGCTAGCACTGACATACTGACAGACAACCTCTAACTACTGCCACACCCAAGAATTAACACAATACAAATAGATCTGCTAACTCCACTGTAAAATGCTGATTTGTGCTATTCTTTATTAGTTTTTATGAAGCTGAAAGGGGTAGAAATATCTGATCCATAATCTGAAAGTTGGCAGTTGAAAGTTGGTTTATATCCTGCTACCAACAACACACATTCTCAGTGTGCCCTTGGGCAAGGCAGTTCAAGCTTTGTATAATTCTGAAGCTGTGGTCATTAAAGCGTTATCGCTTGGCTCTGATGAAACTGTAAATACATTTTGGTCATTTTTCATAGTCAGTGTTAATTCAAAATCTCCTCTGTTGTATTGACAGGTTGCTCTTATGTTGCTTGAGAAGGATGATCGCAAAACCTTGACGCAGCTATTTGACCACCTTTCAGCCACGGAGAGCTCAGCATTCACCAAAAATGACGTGCAAAATCTGGCCAACAAATACATCTAACTCTTTGCATGACTTCAACTAACCCGGGATCTATGCAAAACACAAGGCACAAGGACTCCAGTGTGCAATAAGAGCCAGAATCCCTCTACTTTGTGCTTGAATCAAAGACTAGGACTGTGTATTTTTTGCTATGCAGATGTACTTTTCTACCACCATCAAATACATGAACGGGTTGTGTAAGAGTTGATGCAATATATGTAATGTGGACTATTCACTTATTGATAAAGTGGGGGCAATGTACAGTGTTACGTAACAAGATCAGCTCAGGTCAGATACAGCTGCTATGAACTGGTTTATTGAGTATAAGGTTTATGTGGAGTTTAGTTCTTTGGAGAGGATGTAGATTTATATTGATAGCATGAACAAAAATATGGAAAATACACTCTTGGCTTCCCCTAAAATGGTCTTGTAACAATTAAAAGTTGTGACATATCTGTCAAGTTATCAGTCTCCTTTGCCTGCTACCACCACGTCTGCTTCCAAACTTGCACAAATTGTCATCTAAAGTCGTTCCTGGTCCATTATACCTTCCAGGTAATGCAAACTTTGATCCAATACAACACACTATACTAAACTTATGACCCCTAGTGGCATAATAGGTTTACCCACTCAAAGTCAAAGCTGGAACAGTCAATAGTGAAATCAGGTCACTAGTTAAACACTGAACTAGGCTAAAATAGTAACATTTATCTGACTGTCAATTAAAACTATACATTTCTTTCTTATTTTTTGGCAAAGGGGCACAATTCTGAAAGTTTATTAGTTTATTAAATTAAGAAACTTTTTTTATTTGACAACTTGTTGAGGTTATTTTATTCTGAAAGGAAATATCTGTTGCATTCAGTCGTGTCCTCTTTGAAACCAGCAGTGTTGTGAGATGTGTGCCTTGGGTTAGACTTTGGACCTTTGCGCAGAGAACTATTTATGTCGTACCATAGCTTTTATCCACAATACCGTATTTAAATTTGAATTGATTTTAAAAATGTCATATTGAAATTATTTCACATATTTGTCAGATTTTCTTGAATGTACTGTTTGTGAAATAGTGTTGGGAATAACTACTTATGACAAAAAAGAAATGTTTATTTCATTGGTTATTCACATTATTAGATGTAAATATGTTCACAGAGGGCTAAATTAATAAAATCAAATAATTTAAAATTTTGTATACTGTGGTACTGTTTCAATAAGTGTGTTTATTACGTTACTAAAATTGATCTTTTTCATCTAAATCCACCCAAGTTATGTTTGTCACATATGTTACAGGTAAAGCTATCGAAATATAAGAAGGAAGAATTGGTGCTGTCACAGTACAATCATAGTACGTGTTACATTTGGGTTTGATGAGAAGGTCTATAATACACAATCTACAAATACTGACTGAAGACAGTAAGAAATGAAAGCATCAACACACCACACTGGATAGTTTTTTTTTTTTTTTTTGTTTTTTTAATTTTGATATGCATTTACACGCATATAATAAAGCAAAATTACCAAACAAATGTACAAATACCTTATGCCATTATGCACCAATTCCAAATTAAAACTGGCACTAGTGTTTTCAAAATGAGGGCTTACTGTGAATTTGAAGAAACATAAACAAAAGGAATAAGCAGTCACTGCTCAACCAAAACCTAGAATAACAATATTTTGCTGTGAACAGACTTGGGTCAAATGCCATTCAAGCTTAACAGAACTAGATCAGAGTTTCACCCATGCAAGCTCAGTGACAGGATAAGGCAATCACTGGGCACTCAGGCTAACGCTCAAAATTAAGAAGTATTTTGTAAAAGTGGGTCATTAAAACAAATTTGGAGAGCTCGTTTTATTCCAAAGTAGATTATACTAGTTACAGAGAGGTGCAAAGGCAAGAGACTCACCAGACACTCCTTGGATTTTGAAAATTACTTCTTTCCTCTTATATCCATATTAATCCACTTAAATGAGCCTTAGTAGTAGTAGTAGTAGTTGTAGTAGTAGTAGTAGTAGTAGTAGTGGTAGTGGTAGCAGTTCTTTCTAGTCAAAGGTAGAGTACACCAGGATTGTGTCATATATACTTATACTAACAATGTACCATACCACAGTAATACTAGAGTTAGAAGTAGTAAAAGTACATTTATAATAATTTAATACAATACACAACTCAACTTGCTCCAATCTGCTAATCCAAACTATATTCACAAGATGTGTGAGCATAAACAAGCCCTCTATTACCGAATATGACCAACTTTTACAAAATACTATGACTTTATAAGGTTCAAGCCTACTCAGCAGCACCATTCGGCACCAACTGACAGGACCAATAGAAAAAACATGTAGAACTTAAATACATGGAGAATTACATTAACAGTGCATGTGCCTACAGGCTACTTCTTGCAGCTCTTGTCCCTGTGGTGTCAAGGGAAAACAATATTTTGCGTTGATAGAAAGATTTTAAGCCTGAGTGGTGTCTTTGGTAGGCCATTGTGAACAAAGTGTGTAGTCTACCATCGCTTAGACACAAACGAGACCTCGTAAAGGACACTGCTGCAAAGACACAATGGAAACGTAAAAGAAAATAAGGCAGAAGGCACAATAAGTTTGACAACAATATCAAAACTTGCAAAACCTTAAACCAGACCGAACCAGTTCAGGAAATAAACCAACCCCGCTGTACAGTATTAGTTAGCATTGCCTTTTAAACTATGGCCTTCCAGAGACCATATCAACCAGAGTAAATATACAAGCCTTCAACAGAACAAAAACAACAGACTGGGCTCAGCATCAGTTGAACATGATACACAGAGGATGTCATCTTGGCCTTTTATAGCTACAGATTGAAAATGTGCACAAATATTTATTCAGCCATTCTACCTGCATTAGATGAGATCAAAAGCTTTAAGCCAAGAAATACTTGGAGTTTACAAAACACTTTCAACATAAATCTACCTTTTAAGAACATTTTGGATTTTGTAAAAAGACTATTTGACCACAAGTTTAATCAGCATTTTAAGTACTGAAAAAATGGTCAATCTGATTTTACTGACCAAATAAAAAAGATACAATTCAGCAATACTTAAGAGATTTTTAGGTTACATTTTAATCCCGCTACTGTAATAAAACTAAATACCACATTTAATAATTCCTCAGTGGGTTAAATTAGACTGAAAATAATTTAAATAAAATACACACTTTAATAAGTAACAGCAACAGAGCACTAGTCTCCAAAAAAGACATGTATCAGCCATCTATTGCAGGAATAAGGTATGTCATACAAGCTCAAAATTCAAAATAATTGATGATTTGATGCCGAGCCCAAGTCTTTAATGTAAATGAGAAATTATTTAATTTAGAAGTAAAATAAAATAAATAGACAAGACACAAAAGCTTATCTGTTAATAATGTCCAAGAGGAAAAAAAGCTGAAAAGGTGAGTACAGTCACATTGCCTGGTCCCATTCAAGAAACACGACTTCCTTTGTGGTGTTGCATCTGCATTAAGAGCCCACATCGTTCAAGCAAAAGTGGCACAGTGGTTTTCTTTTAACTCTAAACTAAAAAGAGACAAAACACAGGGTTGCCATTTCACATTTCACATCAAGGGCAAAAAGTTGGTTACAGATACTACCTTCATATGTACTTGCCTGTGATTTCAATGTTTTAGTTTTTTTTTAATTCAAAGAATTAGTGTACACAGGGCAACACAGATCAGATTAATCAGATTACAACTGGTAGTGCGGGGATTTGTGCAATAATCTGCCTCTGGACTGGCATAATAAAAACAATGTATAGTTCTTTCCAAGATGTTTTCTAGGATAATGAACTAATTGCTGATTATGAACACAGCACAAATGATTTTGATAATAAAAATCTTAACTTAAAAATGAGTATTGCATTTTTATGTGCTGTGTGAGGCATAACTACATTATATTTCTAAAAGTGAAAGGATTTGTTTCAGTTGGTGGCCTTTACAGAGTTGGCATAAAAGAACAATTTCAGAACCGAAAACATACTACCAATCAGAACACAAAATGCACAACTCCCTTTCCTTTAGGGATAGAAATTCTTCATAAGTGGAGACCTACCAGACTCAGTTACCTAATAATAATGTCGATGTGTATGGCTCGCCAGGGTAGACTAAAGTACACCAAAAGTAAACGGTAAGCAATGACTCTTGGAGATTAGTGGCAAAAAGGTTTGAACGCAGTAGAAAGAGTGCAGCACTTAAGGTATCGCAATGCTAGATGTCTGTCTGTATGCAGGAGATTTTAGGCTGACTTTGAGGCTGTTCTTGGTGGTTGTTATTTGCTTCTTTCAACACGTCTCCATTGTTACATTGAGAGTCTAATTCTGCGGGACACACCAGGTTTACATTCTCCTCTGTGATGAAGCACAAGGGGGGCAGCTCAGCCCCATGTCCAGACGATGAGGTGGAGGAGGGGGAATGAGGAGTCACAAAAGCCCCCAGTCCTGGGACAGCAGAGGCAGCTCCAGGGCAGCTCTCCAGGCGATCATTCTCTACCTCTGGTAAAGGGCTGACGGTGGCAAAGCGGGTGTGGAAGTCCCCTCCTACACCTCCAGAGCCATGGCTACAGGACGTCTTCATGCTCTCCAGATCAGAGCCGCTAAACTCAGAGAAGTGGCTGGAGTGGGAGTCGGCCACAGAAGGCAGACTCCCGCTGAGAGAGGGAGAATCAAACTCTGAGGAGTTGGTGCTGCGCTGTTCCAGCAGCTGTGCGTCCATGTCCTCGCGGCTCTCATTGATCTTGGTGCCGCCTCCTTTCTTGCGCAGTTTGCCTTTGCTCTTCTTGCCACTGGAATTGGAGCAGGAGGCGTCTTTGGCCCATTTGGAGGTACTTTTCCCCTCAGAGCAGCCGGACGCGGGACAGGTCCAGCCACAGCGCCCCACATGGCCACTGTCGTCTACACTACTGCTGCCGCTGTGGTGACGCAGTTTACCAGGCTTTGATTCAATATCCACCTGCACCTCCATACTGTTACCATCTCTGCAGGAAAGAGAATCGGTATTGCACTTAATAACTTCTACAATAATGCAAAATAAAATAGAAAAACATACACAAAACAACATGTTATAAGGCGGCAGACCTGTCGAGGGGCATGTAGGCGTTAAGAATGGATCCAGCCATTGCTTTGGTGCTAGCATTGTCACTGATTGTGCCCAGACTGACTGTCCCGGACTCTCCACTTAAACTGCAGCGTTCCTTCTGCACATCAGCCTGCACCTCCAACCTGGACACAGAGGAACAGCAAAAACATGAACAGAGTCTCACAGGGATGTATGGCTGTCCAGGATTAATACCTAAACTAGTTATTGTAATACATTGCTTTAACTGCTTTCCTGCATAATTTACACAGTGAAAGTTTGCCTTGCTTGAGATTAAATTGACACTAAGACCTATTCTCTATATATACTTCTCACAGACCTCACAGATACAAGCCCAAGCAGTGTGTAAGGGCATTCGGGACCAACCATAACAATATGCAGATTTCAGTCTGCTACATGGCAGAGGACGACCCCTTGTGCTGCCCTGACATAATGCTGTACCTGTTGATGTAGCTGACCATGGCGCTGCCACACAGACTGCCCGTGATACTGGCCCCTGCCAGAGCTGTGGTGGAGGCGCTCTCACTCAGGTTGTCTCTGGCCCCGAGTCGATCCATGTGGCTCCCGCTGGCACTGAGGCTGCCCGTGAGGCCGCCCACACTGCCCTCCCCAATACTGGGGTTGTTCCGGGTGTCGGCCACTGAAGTTGTATCTGTAAAAAGAACACCAAATAAGTGTGACCACTAATACAGGCTCCAACTCTCCATTATAAACAGTTCCCGAGTCTGACACTCACCAGTGACTGCCGTTCCACTGCCGATGTTCAGATCATTCTCGTCGTCAAACTCTATCCGAACTCCTTTCCCGTTTCCAGCTGAAACGCCACATCCTCCACTGCGGCACAGAGAGATGGGCACCACTCCGTACACATACGCCAGCATTATGGGAACCCCAATCCCTGAGGGGTTAGAGGCAGGAAGTGAGCAAAACCAAGACTTCAACAGATCAGTGAAAGGCCAATCTGCTATGGTTTACAAAAGCAAACATCTGAAATCTTTGTAAACTTTCCCATCTTTATGTAACTGTGCAACAAATCTCATTACCATTTACATAACATAAGCTTCAGGGTTGAAATTAAATCCTGGAAATCTAAGCAAAACTAAACATTGGGTAAGAAAACTAGAAAACGAGGATAGACTGACCGACTGTTACTGCGGCAACGACAGGAGACACGATGACAGAGAGCGTCACTCCTCCAGCAATCACCAAGTTCCTCTTGTGATTGGACATGTCTTTACCTTCATAGCGGTTATGAATCTGAAGAACAAATACACACATTAAAGTCAGTACACAATGCTTAGTTTAGTTTTGATTCCATACGTTACACAAAAATATAACAACTACATTTTACGGGAGACCTAGTAGAGTTATAACCTGGATCACACACCAAGTTAATTGAGCTATTTTATTATCCAGCCTTGAAGCATGCTAAACTGGTACCTAGACACTAGTTTGAACAAGTCACATTAATATGCATGTTTTAGGAGTCGTCAGTGATTGTAAAATTATGTATGTTTTACTCTAACATCTTGCAGAATATTACTTTGTAGCAATCTTCAAAGGCAAAATGAAAGGTAAGGTTCATGATTGTATTTAGATAACTATAGCACAGTATTGAGATTAGAATATGCACCACAATTGCATAAAATATTTGAATAAATAAATTTCAACACAGTCATGTTTTTAATTAACCAAGGCTGCAGTAGTGCTGTACATGCCAGGTCAATATTGGTTGTGATTCACTCTCAGATGCTTCAGGAGTGACATAAGATCACACTACACTAAAGGAGTTTTTCCCTGAGACGAAGGCGGAGCAGGCTCCACATTTTTGGCTCTTTCATCTGGGGATTTCTGCAAAACTCAAATACTTTCAGTCCATTGCTTTCATGCTTGTGTTGAACAGACCTGCTCTGCTGATAAATGAACAGATACAGAGAAATGAAACTAAAGTGGTTATCAATTCTTGGCCCATGTTGACAAAAAAAATTACTTCAATTTTGGGACAAGACAAGCCCATGTCTGTTTTTTTTATTTAGAAATTAGCATTCAAATTAAAACACTCTGGCTTCTGTTATGTGTCATGTTAGACTGATTAATTTGTGTGAAGTAGTTAAGTTACATTAACAGCAAAGACCAACGAACACAAGCTATATTTAAGAGCACTGCAGAAGAGAGAAAAAACCTCCTTGTCAAAGTCTGATCTCTTCAGAAGCTAAGCAAGGCCGGGGTGGTTAGTACTTGGATGGGAGAGCGCTGGCAATATCAGGTGACACAGTGGCAAAACTGTTGTTGTGTCTTTAGGAAAGACATTTCACACATATTGCCTAGGATGAATGTGGTTTGTGCATAAGCGGTGTTGGAGATTGGCAGCCTCGATTCCGGCAGTTGGGGCTACTATAGTAGATTACCACCATAGAGTATGGAATGAATGAATAATGCACAAAACTGTAAAGTGATTTTTTTTTGTTAGATTTCTACAGCATAAAATTGAAAAAAACAAAAAAAACAAAACAGTGACTACAGGAAGTGGTAATGATGGATCAGATGGGGAATGAATCACGTTATGTTTGCAGAGGCAATGGTTGGAATGCTGGTCCATCAAACCTAAACCTAAAGATCAAAAACCCTGCATAAACAACGGTTGTTGTGTCCATGGGCAAGGACCAGACTATTATCATTAACAGGTGAAGGTTAAGCTAACCAAGAGTCTTACCTTCCTCCCCACATACACCGGGATCCCGATGATCATGGCAGGGATGGCGATACCAGCGATGAGCGCGATGCCAACCGGAGCACCCACTAATGTCCCCAGCTGCCATAGGATCTTCTTCTTTCTGCTCCAAGGCTTCTTCCCCCAGAAAGTACAACCTGAAGGACTGGGGAGGAGAGGACACACATACTGGTACTATGCACATTTGAAAAAATGTATCAGCACATCTAAAATTTAAAGAAAAATAAGACAAGGGCTGTTTCTTACCTCAAGTAGTGCAGGTCTGAGATCTCCTTCATACAGAGCCAGCAGAACTCACAGCCGCACACAGCACAGGTCATATGATTACAGCTGCCGTCGTTCATTTTGATGATGTACGCAGCACAGCGCGGACATGGTTTTATGTCATCAGCTGAGTGGATGAATTTAAAACTATTAGTTAGAGCCCGACCGATATATCGGTTGGTCGATATTATCGGCCGATATGCTTGCTGATAGGGGCCGATATTTCACGTGGGCATGTGATACGTCGTTAAAAATCTTAGACTCTCTACATTCTGTTCATTTAATCCAATTTACAGACAGATAAATGTCCTAATATGTGGCTCCACATCAGTATTTATCTGCGGAGTCATTTGTCTGTGTGTGTGTCCGTACTGTCCCTGAACACACCACAGAGTTGTGTCACTCACGTGTGTTTGTTTACACGCGTAGACATAGATCCAAACATTGAGATTATATTCTTTTTACGGACAATCGGTTTGAGTCTGGATTAAAAGGACGTTTATTAGTTCAGACTTGTGATGTGAGGAGGAGCCTGTGTGAGCGGTGAGTGTTGGAAATATGTCGACTTTGATGCTAGTTTTGGTCATTTGTTTTGGGTTAGCTGCTGTAGCTCCCGCACATAAACAGGCTGTTTTCTATTGGCCTATTGTAAATTGACTATATTGGCCGTACATTTGCTACTGGACCTGCATTGATATGTAAATGAGCTGTGAATAGACGTGTGAATTATGACATTTGCGCATATAATTAATTACCGCGGCGCGCACGTATTTACGGCTAAAGGCTAATAGCGATAGTTTCTTTACTAGTGATGGGTCGGTCGCGAACGAAATGGCTCTTTGAAGCGAACGACGGGAGCCTGATCCTTATTGGGAGCCGTGTTTTCTCTTTTCTCTCTCTCTCTATATATACATATACATATATATATTAGTGCTGTCATGCGATTAAAAAAATTGAGAGATTAATTAATTATGATCTGTAATTAATTAATCTAATTAATCTCATTTTAATCTCACCTAAAAATTGCTGAGAAAAGCCTTCAATTTGAGGTATTTTCATTTAAATTCATTATTACATTATTGTGGCAGATCAAAAGACTAATATAGATTTAAAAAAGTGACTTTATAAAGTAATTTATTGTTTAACAAATCTCTCCAATTTGGCTGTTGAGCCCAAGTCTCCATGAATTACAAACTGTTTGTTGTAAAGTAGCAAAGACGAGGAAATCTGAACATAATAACTTTTGTCTACTTAAAGACAATAAAAAGTCCAGTCTTTCCTTAACCATATTAAAAATATTATTGATAGAGAAATGCTTTATATATGAGATCACTGGTTTTAGTCCTGGTTTAGACCTGGTTTAGACCTACTTTAGTCCTAGTTTAGTCCTAGTTTAGTCCTAGTTTAGTCCTGGAATGGATTAATCCTGGTGTTAGTCCTGGTGTTAGTCCTGGTGTTAGTCCTGGTGTTAGTCCTGGTGTTAGTCCTGGTGTTAGTCCTGGTGTTAGACCTGGTGTTAGTCCTGGTGTTAGTCCTGGTGTTAGACCTGGTGTTAGACCTGGTGTTAGACCTGGTGTTAGACCTGGTGTTAGACCTGGTTTAGACCTGGTTTAGACCTGGTTTAGACCTGGTTTAGACTGGTTTAGTCCTGGTTTAGTCCTGGTTTAGTCCTGGTTTAGTCCTGGTTTAGTCCTGGTTTAGACCTGGTTTAGACCTGGTTTAGACCTGGTTTTAGTTCTGGTTTTAGTTCTGGTTTTAGTTCTGGTTTTAGTTCTGGTTTTAGTTCTGGTTTAGTCCTGATTTAGTCCTGGATTGGGTTAGTCCCGGTTTTAGTCTTGGTGTTAGTTCTGGTTTAGAGACGCACAGGAGGAAGCGCGGTTTACGCCGCGTACGCGAGAAAACACGATCCACACGCGGCTCACGGGAGGACAGCGATGTCCGCGCAGTGTCTACGGAAGGAAACGTGGTCCGCGCGTTCTCGGGTTAATGACGATGATGGTGTGTGTTTGTGTTTGTGTGTGTGTTTGCGTGTCCCCTCATGTGGCAGGTCACTATAGGACAGTAGTGCAGAGATCATGAGCCTATGCAGGTTGTTTTCAGGCGATATTATATTTGTTATTTTCTTTTATATTTCACGTCGGGAGAATAATTTCCAAGACACGAATGTTTTTTTACCTGTGCGCTGCTGACTCTGTTCTACTGGCTCTTCGACCTCGTCCATTGTGCGACTGATGCCGCCAACGTTAACATGACGTTTACATCGCTGTTACTGCGCGTGTTTTGTGTGGCTTTCCGGCAATGAGTGGAATTACCGAAATAAAAAAATTTATAAATGTGTTTTGTGTGTGTGTGTGTTGTTGTCCCAACAACACATAAAAACAGGTTTTATAATAAAGAAACTCACATACAGAAACACTAAAGTTAGAGATTAAAAATGAGATTAACGCGATTAAAAAACATAACGCGCTAAATATGACTGTAATTAATTAATCGCAATTAACGCGATAATTTGACACCCCTAATATATATATATATATATTTATATTTATATATATATTTATATTTATATAATAAACTTCATGCTTTATCACAATTAACTAAATGTCTTTGGTCTTCCTCTAGGCCTCTTGACTGACAGCACTAACCTCTGAACCCTTGTACTCCCTAAAATTCTATCCCTCCTCCATACATTTTTAGTAGGACCCCTCTGACTTCATCTCCACATCCAACATGAGTGGCCTCTTTGATGTGTTCATTGTCTACATTGTTTCTGACAGCAATTCATATCTTCTGTTAGCTAAGTGCTTGCATAGCCACTTCCATCACCACTTCCACCATGCATCACACACGTATTGTCCCCATACAGAAGAGATCAGACGCACCTGCCGCCCCGCTCTCCTGGCTGTAGCTGAGGGAGGAGGAGCGAACCGTGCGGAGGCGAAGGCTCTGAGCCCTCTGCTGTCGGGCTGCGTCACACGTCTGGTTAGGATGCCACAGCTGTTTACAGTGGTAACAAAACTCTGTGCCACACCCATCTCTGCCGCATGTGATCTTTGGGCAACTGGCACAACCAAAGGCGATAACTGCATACCTGGTAAAGAAAACAAACAAAAACAAAACGGTTAAGTGTACAGTCAAGAAAAAAACTAAAACAAACACATATTATTTAAAAGGTGCATTGTGGAAGTTTTCAGGTGGAGAGTCCATCCACTAGACTAAGTTACAGATCATATCTGTGTTGAGGCAACCCCGCTCACAGTCAGAATACCCGTTTTTCAAGGTATTTTTGAGCTATAAAAACACTTGTAATTTAATTAATGTTTTAACTGTGGAAGATTCCAGGCAGAGCAATGACATAGCCATAGAATCAAGCAGGTGATGGACCTCCAACCAAAACGTTACATAGTGCACCTTTAACTTGTATATATTTCTTCTGTCAGGATTTCTTCAACTATAGATCAGCTGAACAACACTCCCTTTACTCCTGGTCAAAACTCAAGCTCAAGCCTACAGTAGTCAATATTCTAGCATGAACACATTTTAAATAACCACCAAAAAGGTGATCGCAAATAGTTCAGACTAACGCACAAAACGCAGTTAGGCCTATCACAATAAATACTATATTGACTGCAGTTTATGTTATTTAACAATATTTTACACATTAAAATACTTTTATATAACTCTGCTTCATATTTTGGTTGCAATATTATTGTTAATCGTCTATATTTACTTCAGCACTTCAAAACGTGTGTTGTCGTGACAGGCTTAATAGCAGTAGTTGTAAACAAAGCTGTACTGGCGATTCCTGGTGACAGACGGGGCAGTTTGATGTGAGGCAGCTCTGTACTGCTCTATGGGCCTCTGCACCAGTGTGACAAAGGCATCCACTCACAATAACACTGCTCTATTCTCTGTGCTGCAGTCAGCCATAACACCAGTGAAGGCCACACTCATGTCCTGTTGTTTATCTGTGGACCAAATAACTTTACTGTGAAGTCATCAGCGCTATATCTAGTATTTTATTCAACCTGGATTTAGTGTATCAAGACATTTATTATATAATTAGTTTAATCAAATGTTTCATCAAATGCAGCAGCTGGGTATGGGTAACATAGAAATCAAATTAAGGTACTAATATTACAATGTGCTGCCTCTATAACTTCCTCTAAAAATCGATAATTAAATAATGATGGTTTTGTTCAGAATCAAGCAGGCATTAGTGACAATTTAAAATACAGAAGGAGCAAAAAAGCAAAAGAACTGTAGAACCAACTACTAACTGATAACCTTGTAGGATTTTGCCACAAATCGCACAACACAATTAAGATGTTTATTAGGGGTTAGGGTAAGTATCATCTGGTTAACATTTTATTATTATGTATTATTATTATTTTTTATTATTAGTAGTAGTCTACATGGTAGGTGGCATGCCTTTCCTTGCTTTACAACATTTTACAGCTGCAGTCATAAAAGTTGCCCAGTCGCTCAGTCTGACATTTCTAAACCCCATGTTCTCCTGGGTTTGTTTACACAACACACAACCACCCTGAAGCGTGACAGCGAACCAGATTTGACAACCAGGATGCTTGCTAAATTCATTTCAAAAGTGTACTGAAAAAAGTAACCAGCATTATGACAAAAAAGGACAGCAGCTGTGCAGTGGCTCCTGAGGGAAACCCAGGGGCCAGTGACGTGTTTGGGGCTGAAACAGGACCCGAGCTGTCCCTCTGTGACAAACCAGTTGGTTACATTTCAATCAGAGTGCGCACACAGCCGGGAGACTTCCTTTGCACTGGATCAGCTTACAGCAGGGAGAGATGTGACAAAGGACTTGCGAAGGAGTGACCTCTCCATGGAGACAAGCAGGTGATCCTCCATCAGAGAGGGCACATTTAAGTCAACAAACTACCCTTTTAAGAAGTTAAGAGAGATCTGAATCAGGAAGTATTAACTAGGCAATAATGGACTTTAGAATTTACCTCAATGTAGGTATTAGAACAAAAGCATTAATAGCATTTCATGATCACTCTGGATATTGCTGCATTTTTATCTTAAACTGATGCCCAATAAAAGACCTGCTATGACGTCAAATCACACTATTACGAATGTCCTCCTCGGAGAGAAAGTAACTAAAACGGACTTTCCAAAATCCAAAGAAAACACAATGGCATTCCAGCATGTCTAGTTGACACAGTGCTTTTGCGACTATTGCGGTCAAGGATACAGAACAGGACGTCCCATTGAACACACAACACCAACTGACCAACTATTCAAGGTTACTATGGACTAAGAACCACACACAGCACAGCCCCTTCCAGAAAGCAAGAGGGTGGAGGAGCATTTACAAGCCCCTCATGTCAAACAATTCCTGGAAGAAAAGGAAATGGTTAGGAAGGGGGAGAGACGAGGACATTTTACCTATGAACAGCTTATGTGTGTGAAAATTATTCAGAAGGTTCACATTATTGTATCGAACCTGAAAATACAAATAAAGATCTAATGAAAGTTGTAGCTTTTCCTATGCTATTGATCACAATGGATACAATGTATAGCCAAGGATATTTAGATGGCTTTTTAACACATACATATACAAAATATCTTAATAGCTTTATATTGCTTTTTGCAAATTAACATAATGCATTGGAAACAAGTAAAAGAAAACAGAAAAGTGTCACAGTCAATGTTATAAGACTTCAGCTACTGTTGCTGGAGAGAAGCCCTTTAGTGTTGAGTATTATGGGTGTAACTACAGTTCTATGCATCACAGATAACCACCAGAGACTGAAATTAAATTATTCCCTTTGCAGATGTATAGTATGAAATAGATGACGTCGTATTACAAAAGATGAGCGGCAACAGATATCATGCCTGTCATGCAAACTCCATCAAACACATGACAAATCATAAACACAAGCGCATTGTCAAAGTATCACCACAAGAGCCCCAGACAAGACACATTTATTGTAGCTTGGGGAGCTAACTGGCATAGCTATGATATTGACATTATTGCTCAAACAAACATTGCACAGTGTGGCTGCATGTCGTCTTATAGTTTTATAGAAACAATATTTAAATATCTTGAGATAAAAAGTAGCCAAGTATTTCTTACCCGCAGTCTGGGGCAGGGCACCACCTGCAGTCAGGGTCAGCCACCAGCCACCTGCGCAGCATGAACTCTTCGTACTTCTCCATCAGGGCCCTGTCCCCCAGGATCATGCGGATGTCGTGGGGGTTGAAGCGTTCGGAGCACTCAGGGCAGCTGATGTTCACACGGGACTCAGAGATCTCTATGCGCAGGTACTGCCGGAGACAGTCCATGCATGACCGGTGGTGGCAGGTCATGATATCAGGGAAGCAGTCACGCGAGTGACGCAGGAGGCACAGGGGGCACTCCAGAAGCTCCGCCCCTGTCCCACCCGCAGCTTTGGAGGCCGAGGAGCAGGTGGAGGAGGGCCCTGATGCAGAAGAGGTGGAGGCGGCAACAGCAGAGCCAGCCACACTGAACAAGGCCGAGTTTTTATCGTTACACATTTCGGAGTGAATGCTTTCGATGCTGGCGATCCCCTCCACCGGCCCGAGCGTTCCCGCCCCATGCTGGAGCTCTCTGGTCCGGTGCTGTGCCGACTTGGACTCCCTCCCTCTGCGTCTGAAAAGAGCAGCCAGTGAGAGGCGTCTCTTCTTGGGACCTTTCTTGACAGACGGCAGTGAAATAGAGGAGGCGGCTGACTGGATGTCCCGGTCAGAGCCCATGCCTGCCCCCAGCACTGGGTGCTTGTGGAGGCTGGTCTCCGTGGAGGATAGAGGGGAGGGGTGGGACAGAGGGGAGCCCTGACCGGGCAGCCGATCCCGGGCATGTGTGGACAGGTCGGGCAGGGGTATAGGTCCAGGTGAGGAGGTGAGGTGGTGAATGGGGGAGGAGGGGGTGGGGCCGGCATGGGGAGACAGGGCTCCCGGCGGCCCATCTGCGTTTAGGACATGATGGCTTCTCCTGATCAGCCGCGTGGTCACATCCAAGAGACGGATTTTGGCGGAGGGGCAGGGGTTAGCCGGGCCGAAAGTGGGGCAACAGAACCTGAAGGAAAAACACAAGACAAATACACAGGTCAATTACATTTGATTAGACCAATTACATTTCACTCAAAAATCAGAACTGTCAGTTTTAAGCCAGAGAAAGGAGCCATATCCCTTTGTCGATTCAATATAAATATTGAATTGTTTGTCCACACCACCACATCTGTTCACTGGCAGAGCACTATTACTTGTACAGAACATGCCCCACAGACACAGCCATGTCCTGAAAGGCCAGATCAAAATGCTGACAAGGAATGGTTGTACATTCAATGTGTATCAATGCAATATTTTATAATTGCAATTTTACCAGAAAACGGTTTAGGGAACTTCCATCTTTCAAAGCTGTAAAAACGAAATTATGGTCTAACATGTAAGAGTCAGTGATGAATTGTTTCAGTTTCTGAAAGGACTTAACGAGTTTACCAGGATGACGCAAAACTGGAACAGACTTTTATTATTTTATTGCACACACCACACACTGTTGCACATGTTAACGGCTTTAATCATCAGTACATGTTTTATAACTTAACAGCATGTGTCCACTCTAACTAAATTATAAACATCAATGAATTAGTTATTAGATCACATTTATCCATACAAAGCCCGTGGTTGTATAGCTGTAGACTTACATCACTTGTGATCATTTGTAAGAGGACATAGACTTAAGACTGGAGCCCGACCGATATATCGGCTGGCCGATATTATCGACCAATATGGGCACCTGGAGACATATCGGCTATCGGCCGATATGCTTGCTGATATGGGCCGATATTTCACGTGGGCATGTTATACCTCGTTATAAAGCTTAGACTCTCTACATTATGTTCATTTAATCCAATTTACAGACAGATAAATGTCCTAATATGTGGCTCCGCATCAGTATTTATCTGCGGTGTAATTTGTCTGTGTCCTTACTGTCCCTGAACACACCACCAGAGTGACGTCACTTCACTCGCGTGTGTTTGTTTACACCCGCAGCCGTGCGCAACATTGAGATTATATTCTTTTTCGGACTATTGGTTTGAGTCTGGATTAAAAGGACATTTATTAGTGCAGACTTGTGATGTGAGGAGGAGCCTGTGTGAGCGCTGAGTGTTGGAAATACATCGACTTTGAAGCTAGTTTAGGTTTTGTTAGCGGTTAGCTGCTGTAGCTCCCGCACATAAACAGGCTGTTTTCTATTGGTCTATTGTAAAGTGACTACATTGGCTGTATATTTGTTACTGGACCTGCATTGATATGTAAATGAGCTGTGAATAGACGTGTGAATGATCCACACTTATGCATATAATTAACTACCGCGGTGCGCAGCATTTACGGCTAAAGGCTAATAGCGATAGTTTACTAGCTAGGAGTTATGGGTCGGTCGCGATCGAAGCAACGGGAGCCTGCTTCTTATTGGGAGCCGTGTTTTCCCTTTTTCTCACTTTTTCTCTTCATGCCACATGTAGACCCGTAGTTTGACAGCAGCAGCGGCTGAAAACGAAACTTGCAGAAATCTGCGTGTGCATAGGATAAAGGACTAATCTTGGGCTCGAGTGCAGGAGAGAGATAGAAACCGAGTCCCGACACTCAGTCCTGGTTCAGTTCTGGTTTAGTCCTGCTTGCAACAAAACAATCTCAAGAGTCGCTTGGGAGCCGAAAGAGCCAGCTGCTTTAATGAGCCGAGCCAAAAGAGCCGGTTCTCCAAAAAAAAAATAAAAAACTGGAATACCCATCACTAGTAGCTAGAATGTGATGCAAAAATGCCATTAGGCCAATCTACTGTATGTAAATATGATGTAAAGAGTTCAAAATAACAATAAATGTTGCCTAAATAAACCCAATTTAGAATACACTAGAGCCAAACCTAAGTTTTTTAATCAATTCAAGATTTACAGTGAATTTTTACATCACTAAATATATCGGTGATTATATCGGCTATCGGCAGCTCCAACTACCCATAATATCGGTTTCATATCGGCCACAACAAAATCCATATCGGTCGGGCTCTACTTAAGACCTTGGACAATCTTGACACACAGACACTGAACGCTCTGACCACTGAACGTACATCAGCTGATAACGCAGCGGTAACAGATACTGGCTAAATACAAGGGTTTAGGAATGCTTTAGCAACTGTTATAGCTATGGGCAGTGTAGACCATTGGATATAAGGCCAAATAGTTGTACTGAAGTGGTACTCAATATACCATAGCCACAGGTTTATTTTTAACGCTCAAGGACCAATAGAAGATATTGATATATTGATGTAGCAATAATGTATTATGGATTTGAGGGAAAAAATATAATGGTAGAGGAGAGAGGAAACAGCCCTACACATTTGTCATATACAGTTCTGATCAAAAACACAATAAATGTTTGTTATTGAACAAAGAAATTATTACAAAATTCCTTAGTTTGTTAATTGATAGCAACAATTTGTAGTTAACTTACTGAAATCCTGTAGGTCCACCTTAAAACATAACAGATCGTGTTCTGTTGCATCCCAGTATGATTTTTTAATGGCAGGTCTAAGCCTCTTGCCTATTGAGCTGGACACAGAGGCATGAGAGGAATGATGAAGCGCCTGTCCTGGTCTCTCTTATCTAAAGCCCTCCAGTCCAAGTGCCCAAAGGAAAGCCCTTGGTCAGCTCAGAGGGAGAGCCCGGCTGTGGTCAGCACTGCAGCTTTACCCAGTCCATTCACTGACGGAAGAACATTAGTACGATCCATTCCATGTGGGGGTAGAGGGGATGGGGCTCAAGTGTAACACTAAAGGTGAGGGGGTTACGGGTTTACTCAGGGAGGAAATACTGCATTTAAACTAGGGTGAACCAATGCAGCTTTTCCTGACACCGATGTAGATACAGAAAATTGCACTGATTTCCTTAAAACACGATTAACTTAAGAGATCCAATTATAACAGCTGCTGATTAAGGGTGTGCAAAAATATCAAAATATCAATATATCGTACCGTTTAATGTGATGATACAGTATCGATATCATGGGCTGCTGTATCGATATATCGCCAAGAATATGTTTTGGTATATTTTACTAAAATATTATGTTACAGTGCTACAGTTTTGTTGTTTGTTCAGCGGAAGGAAACTCGTTTATGCAACACATTTGACATATTCACTGTTTTGATGAGTAAAATGGATGTGTTTCATATTAACTTTGCACAAGAAGTGGTTTAACAAAGACTTTTAGTATCACAGCCATCATTTAGCCTTTATTTTTTTATTAAACCATATTGAATTGATTTGGAATATATGGAATCGAACCGAAAGTGCACTGTATCGAGATATGTATCGTATTATGGCCTATGTATCGAGGTATGTATCGTATCGGCAACTTCTTAATGATATAAAACATCAGCAGTAGGGCTGGGTAAGAATAAAAGTACACCTAGACCTAGAATGGAATTTGAGCCATTCTAGGTCCAAATCAATCAACCTGTAACAGTCCTATTACATTCACTTAAAGGCTTAATCAGAGTATCACAGGATCCCTTAAATCAGCATGTTACAAAACAGTCTTTTAACAGAATGCATTATGTTGTTATTATTAAACAGGACTGTGGTGCCACTTCTTTTAGTCTCAAGTTAATTGTAATTATTCAGTTGTAAGTGTTGTCTGTGTAATTCTACAGTCATCCAGGTAGGGTCCATACTTCAGAGCAAAAGAAGGTCAAATACAAGTATAGAATAATACAAGTTACACCCCTCATTCGACTAGTTATAGAGTCACTGGGGACAGTGGGGGACAGAGGCACTGTCCGGGACACTGGGGACACATTCCATCAGAAACAGGCAGCTGAGGAATGCAGAGAGGTCGGGCGCAGCTGTGAGCACTTCCACTCCTCACTGTCCTGTCATCACTACCCATCTGCACTCTGTGCCATATCATTCACTATGTTTACATGAACACCAGGAAGACTCCGTGTTTGGCCTAGTCCAACTTCAGCAGGATTTCTAATATGCGCGTAATAGAAGGCATTTTAACACAACTGGAGAACTGAGATTGCAAGAGGCTTTCAAAGTAATAGTATTTTTAGCATTAATCACCATTTACAATGTATTAAAAAGATTTCAACACTCCACATCTAATGCAAGTGTAGAGGTAGATGAATTCAAGCCTGGTAAGTTTGAAACAAGTCAACCATTGTGAATGCACAAGAGGCAGGCAGCACTCCACAGAAGAAAAGGAGTCTTTCCCAAAGCCAAACACAGTGAGTACAGTGTACACCGCTGTGTGCAGCCCCCTCTCCTCTGAGCTCTGAGGAGGATATGAGGTCAGCATCCAGGCATCTGTTCTCAGCTGAGAACTGGAGAGACGTGCTCTCTCTCAAATCAGAAGCTGATTGAAACGAGGTATCTGCTACTACCAAGGAGAGGAGAAATGGATAACAAATGTGTAGGAGCTGTCAGTAAAGTTGTCAGGGCAATGGAGGAGCTGTTGAAGGGTAAATGCTCTGTTCAGCTGCAAAAACCATGAAGTCTTCCACTAAATCCTGTTTTTTTTGTAATTGCATGAGCCTAACCTAACTTCTTGTTGTAAATTTTCATTAAGGGCTTTGTTGTGGTCTTATTTCATGTACTGCGCAAGGTAAGACAGGAAGACAAGAGGACCAAACACAACTGAAAAGACGTAAGATACAATTGAAACAATCATGCAAAACAATTTTGTACACTACAACATGCATTCATTTTACTTGTCAGTCCTTTATTGTGGCTGTATTTAACTGTATCAGTTAAAAAAAAAACAAAAAAAACATTCACAGCATTAATGGGAAGCCCACTCGAGTGGTGGCAGGTTTACACAAGGCTTGTTTTCCAATTGTGAGGCCTCATAATTTTTCAACTGCTCTACACTGGGAAAGTTTGTCATCCAATCATCCAAGATCTCATCATTTATCAAAATGTGAATAATATACCTTTCTATATATGTTCAGCCCTACTGAATGTAATGTCTGTGATTGTAAATAAACCTAAAGCCATGCTATAATAATACCCACACACAAACACAAACACACCTGCCCTCACACACAAACACACAGGCCCTGATGACTTTAGGTGACTTTCACACTGTCACTTTTGTTATTACAGATATTGTAAGGCTGACACAGGAAGTGAAGGAAAGTAAATAGGTTAAAGTTACAGGACAACAGCACACTAAAGTTACAGTAGCAAAGTTAAATAAAACAGTATTATTATGGTTGAAGAAAATACAGTAAAAGGTGGTGAACCTTTCAACTACAGTTTTACTGTGGTATTCTTCATTAAAGTTTTAGCCAATGATAATATGGTTGCAAATAAATGTAATTAAATGAAACTTCAGATAACACACATTCAACGAATCTAAGTTGAAGCTGGGGAGATCATCTTAAAATAAACACAATATGAAAGTAAAATCGAATTCTCATAGCACCAACCCACGAGTTAAACATGTAAAACCCAAAAGTAGAATCAGACAGAAATCACAGAAATGCCGTGGGAATAATATGCAAATCCTGTTCAGGTCGAGAAAATATGCCGAATGATTTTATATTAAATGGCTATCCATAAAATGCTGGAGACTCAAGTTCTTGTACGTTCCCTTCGCAACTGGCCAAAAAACGAGTTCATACACTGTAAAAAGAAAGAAGAGCTCAACCCTTTCAGTGTGAGCCTGTTCCACATACAGCAATCAGATTATCGGCTGCCACTGAAAAACCTCCAAAATATGTAGAGATTGTTTGCTTTTTTGTTTTGTTTGTTTTTTTTCCATAGGCGATCGGCGGATCAGGATCACTATAAAAAGTAGTACACAGTGTCCAGGTGCGTAATTATTACTAAATAGCAGGTAGCACTTAAGGGCAAATTTCGTTTAAGTGTTGCCATTGCAAAACGGTGAGATTGTGACCATTTGCCTCTAATTACTAAGGTTACTACTAGCTAACTACTTGGATTGTGAATGATTGTCAGTAATATAGAGATCGACATGGCTGTACTGTTGAAATTAAACTAATGAAACAGCTAAATAACTACACAAAAGTATAGTCACGAAACGAGTGAAGTGTTAAAAGGTCTGCCTGGCTTTTTAGTAACCGGAGTCCCAGGCAGCTCCCATTACTAAACACAGCGAGGGTTAGCAGCTAGCAGCAAGATTAGCACAAAATGATGAGAGCATACCGTCTGTTGCTGGTGACACCTCTTCTATCGACAGCAAATAGGAAGAAATCAACACATCCGCATGTAAAGCCGCTTTCTCTTGTGAGGTTTGAGTGTGTCCAGGTGCTGTGTCGAGTGTCGTTCCCTACTGCTAGCACTTATTTCCCCGTCTCTTCGGTCCCACCTATCCGCTCCAAACGACAACAGCTCCACTCTGCTGCTGCTTCTGCTGCTGCTGCTCCGTTGTTCACCGATCTCGTTTCAGCTCAGAAATTCAAATAGTATCGCGAGATTTAACCTTACTACGATGACGGATGACACGAGTCCAGATGTGAGGTCATGTGTGAGTTTTGCACAATTTCACACAAATGTTTCTAATAATAAATCAACCTCAGTACTTACTATCACAGTAGAATTGGGACTTCCTTAGTTTTCCTATTTTAATTTTTATGTATGATCATTGATTTTTATGTATTATCCGCCACAACTTAAGTTTACATGTGTGCTATTTTTGTTAGTGTCTTGCCTTTGCTTTTAATTTATTTTGTATTATTATTGTTGGATTATGGTGTATTACGTCAATTAAAAAATAAAAGTGTGAGTTTTGCCTATAAAGGTAGATCATTTTTGCTCACTCTGTCATAGCATTAAAGAAATGGTCACCCATGCATTTTGGGACTGACATATTTTTTTATGTATAAAAAGCGTTGAACCTAATCGTATTAAACTATCATCCGTTGCTGTAACTCAAATTTTTTGTTGTATTTCCATCCAGTGACGGCTGGTGGTATAATTTTTGCGGTGCGCATAGACCAAAATTATAAATATGTATTATAAATATACGTATGATATATAGGCTATATAGTATTATAACGAATTCCAGAAACAGACAGTCATTTTGGCCACTGTTGGCTGAACTATATCCACCAGAGCACAAAGCACAATCTGATCCACCGCTCACAACCAGCCCCAACAACTTCAGCAAAACTACAGTTAGAGTCTACGGTCACAACACCAACACAGGGCATCAGCACCGCTCCTACAGCACACAAGAGAACAACCGGAGCAGTTCCATCGGCTCTGAGCTCATTTACGCACTATTTAACTATTAACACTATTTGCCTGTGAGGGCCCGCCTGCAGATTTGCCCATAACTCCACACAACACAAGAGCTGTAGGATTTACTACAGCCAGATGCACTCATTTCAGCTTAATGCTTCCTTTCTTGCTTGGCACAAGGGTTCAGCTGAAGAGATATATTACTCCCTAAAAACTGTTCCTCGGATGCACTTTGACTTGAAGTTGAACTCCCCATAGCTGTATAGTACACAGCTCTGTTATCCATTCATTAACCTGGAGTAACATGCTGCCGGTGGAGAGTTGGGGCTAGGCGGGAGAGAGCGATCACGCATCACAATAGGCCAGAAGTGTGTGATAATGTTTATAAAGACCAATCACTTGATTTCAGGTCACCCTACGCCCCCAAGACATATTTAAAGTAATGGGTAGAAGCAACGCAATGACATCAAATTTCTCCCATAGACCTCCATTAAGTTGCTCTGACCCTGCGCACTCAAATGCCAAACATATGAATCAAATAAAGTGATATGAGCACATTTAACATGATAAAAATATATCCATGCAGATACACATTTAATTTTAAACAAAACATTAAACATGTAGCCTAATGCAAAATAACGACTTTTTTTTTATTTTTTATCTATCCTTTACAGACCAGCCGCCAGTTTCCATCCCTTGTCTTCTTATAGAAATTCTTAAAATTATTACACAAATCCAAAAGCCTTGAAAACACTATGTAGGCCTATAGAATTTAAAGAGGTCATAGTATGTGAGATAAATTCAATAGGCTACTTTTTGTGCATTTATTTGCAATTTAACAAAATTGTGTTCTTTTTAAATACCCTATACCCTACTTAAATACTTATAGTACAAACTGAAACTCATTTCATGTATTGTACAATCATGCATGTCTATATGATAATACTTTATAGAATGATATCAGACAGTTATAACTTTACACTTGAGGATATTCTGCCCCAGAACATAGTGCAGAGAAACGTGTGTGGGTTGGTCTCAATGCTATACGAGAACCTTTATTTGTCCCACAATGGGAACATTTGAGAGTTGCTACGGAACTAAACACTTACAAATCAAGGAAATAGGACCCAAATCTCTGGCAGCAAGACATCTAAGTATAAATATGTGCAACTGACACTAACTTCCATACTGGGAAACTACAAATCAAATGGTTGTAGTGACCTATAAACATCCTAGAGTGTAGGCAGGATTATACTAAATCTCTGTAGAAATGTATTAAGGTCAAGTACAGTAATGACACATGTGAAATAAAATACTCCACTGGTCTAAAGCCTATCAATGCCCACGGGAAAAAGATAACTGGCAATTTAAATTAAATTATATTAGTACATTACTCCCAAGGTAATTAAGGTTGATCTCAGTTGTTGCATTACCATTTTTACCACATCAATTTGATGTATTGTTGTCATATTGGTGGACTGAATTAACACAATAGCCAACAATGTGGGTTAAACCTCCCCTGGTGCCCTCAACGATAATTCACAATATTCGCATGGAGCTCAAACTACAAGCTACAATGACACCTTGTGGATAAGGGAGATTCAAATAGACAATAGTAGACAATTTCTAGACATATCAAATATTGTAGGAATTAATAGCTTTCTAAATGCATTCTGAAAAGGAAAAGCATGTAAACTTTCACAAAAGCTGAGCATGCATTCAAAATTCAAATACATGAGACAGACATTTTGAATGAGAATTTATTACAGCCAGTACAATACAAATCACCTTCCAAAATGCTCAGCTATCACATTCTTGCACATGGCTGATAATCTGAGCAATGACATTGTAAAACGACATAAAACAGAAAGATGCATTCAAATGTATCTCAAGTTTCTTCATTTTGCTATTTTTTTGTCAACAAATTTTTATTTATGATCAAGGCCTAGTCAAACCATTCCTAGACCTGGCAAAGTCAATTGTTTTTATTTTTTTAAGAAATAATTTATCATTTTGCGATGTTTTCAGAGTTTTAGGTTTTTCAATGTTTAATTTTTTTTTCTCTTTTTCCATCGGTGAAGCAGGTTTCAAAATTCTGTCTGTAAAAAGAAAACATTGTTAAATATTTGCTTCCTTGTGTAGAAATTAATTCAAACCACTGCAGGTGAATATATAAATAAGGTATTACAAATCTGAAGATTAGATCTTAAAGAATAAAAAAAAAAAAAAGCTTTTTTCCCCAAAGTTAAAATAAATCAAGATTGGAATTTAAATTAAATATTGACAAAAATTTAAATAGCCTTTAGTGTCTCGCCTTAAGATCAGTGATTGGCCAGACATACCTAGACACTGGGAACTCCAGCTGGAGTAGTGGACTTCTGAGCTGCTTCTTTGGCCTGGTGGGCCTGAAGCACGGCAACTGCCTCATCCACCTAAAAACAGTATTAATAATATGTAACTAAAGATATGTTACCTTATAATGTAGAAATGCAACAAAACCTACAAGATGCTTTAAAAGTCCAGACTGACCTTTGAGCGCAGAGACTCAGGAGACTCAAGCATGTGAAGCAGCTCTGAGTTGTCAATTTCCAGCAGCATACCAGTGATCTTACCGGCCAGACTGGGGTGCATGTTCTGAATCAGGGGGAACAAACGTTCACCTGAAAAGAGGCAAATGCGTTAATACACAAAATAAAGAAGAACCACTTTTTTGTTTTTTAAACAAGGCAACACTCACCCAGCATCTGCTTCTGCTCCTGTGGGGGGGCAGCAGCCAGCATTGAGGCAGTCAGTGGCTCCTGTCCTTGGACGTGCACAGCAGGCTGAAAACAAGGAAATAAAGTTCACGTTTAAATCTAGTTTAAATCTTGAGACAAAAGCAGTCAAGCGGTCCTTGTCTGACCTGTTGCATGGCGACCTGTGGCTGGGAGGGGATGTGCTGCTGTGGGTTGCGCACTCCAGCAGCGTACTTGTACTGAGGGATGGCACGCACAGGAGCTGCAGTGGCTGAAGCACTGGCAGGTCGCTGGCTCAGAGGCTGAGTGGCTAAGGTAAGGATGAAATTGTTAAGTAAATGTTTGGAAAACACTTTTCTATTCACATACTTATACAAAATGATGTGCAATACTCACGCATGCGCTGGGAGGTCATCATGCGTGGGACCTGCGTGTTGGTGGTAGTAGTTGGACGGATGGTGTTGAACGTCTGAGGTCTGGGAGCAGACGGGCGCATAGCACTGGGCATGTTCTGGAAATCTACATCAAAAGGGGAACAATTTATTCTAACTGCTACAGTGAAATGCCTCTTTAACTTGCAGAAGACTGCAGAGACAACTTACGCTGAGGACGCACTCCTTGAGTGGCCCAGCGAGGACTGGGGCGCAGCTGAGCCAGCTGGTTGGCAGAATAGTATGCAGCACGGTTCTGAGCCTGAGGGATAGCAGCCATGAAGTAGCCTGAGGGGGGAGCAGGTTGGTAAGGGTTGAGCACAGGGTTGGGTACAGCGCGGACTGTGGCCATCCTCTGCATGTACTGGTTGGTGAGATGTGCCTGACGCTCCTCCTTTCTCTGAGCCAGAGCCACATACAGGGGCTTAGTGGCTACAATGCGTCCATTCATCTCAGTGACAGCTTTGGTGGCCTCCTCTGGGGAAGAGAAGCACACAAAACCAAAACCTTTGCTCCTCCCACCCTCCATCATGACCTGCAAGATTTAAAAAAAAAAAAAAGTCAGTCATATGCACTGATATTTCGTAATCACTGCCAAAGATTTATTTACCTTTGCACTGGTAATGGTACCAAAAGGAGAGAATTCTTTGCGCAGACGCTCATCATCAAGACCGTCATCCAGATTTTTCACATACAAGTTAACACCCTGAAATTAGAGAGAATGTTAGACCTCTGAAAGTAAGCATTTACTCTTCACTCAAATACTTTTAGTGAGAAAAGAAGGGACTGACTTGGTATCTGGTCATGCGATCTTGTTTCATCTGTTCAAATTTGCGTTTCAGCTCATTTTGGCGTTCTCCCTTCTTTTGTGCTCGTCCCACGTAAACCTGTCGGCCATTCAACTCTGTACCGTTCATGTCGTCCACGGCCTGAGTGAAAAGAAAATTCAGACTTTAGTAAAACTAATCCCTCAGACTGCACGCAGCGGATTTTTTCCGTTGGGAGTCTATTTTGGCTGGACAGTGGGGACAATTGGCATATACTGGTCTCAATCATGCAGATTTCAAAAAGCAGTGACTGCAACAGCACCACATCACTTTGTCTATGTGAGACTTTTAACCTTTAAGCCAAAAAGGAACATTTACCTTCTGAGCATCTTCATGCCTTTCAAAGCTGACAAAGCCAAATCCTTTGGATTTCCCATTTTCATCTGTCATAACACGTATGCTCAGCGCAGGGCCTACAAAGAAAAAGGACAAACAAGTTAGGTTGAGGCACCTCCCATTCCTGCCTTAATGTAATTTCTTCAACTTGCCAAATTTGCTAAAGAGCTCCTTCAGCTTGTCATCAGTCATATCTTCTCCAAAGTTCTTGATGTAAACATTAGTAAATTCTCTGGCACGGGCACCTAGTTCAGCCTCCCTTTCCTTTCGTGATTTAAAGCGCCCAACAAACCTATACATACAACAAGAATATGACACATACAAGCTTGCCAATAACACAATTCACAAATCCACACTTGTTAGGCATATGATTGACAAATGCAGTAAATCACTCTTCAAAAGGTTAGATTTCTGAACACACAGTGAAAACACTTACACTTTTCGGTCATTGAGCAACATGCCATTCATTTTCTCAATGGCACGCTCAGCAGCCTCGTGGGTCTCAAAGTGAACAAAACCGTAGCCTTTTGAACCATTTTCATCACAAACCACCTTTAAAAGGGAATATTCAAGCATGTCAAATTCAAACTCATGCAAATCAGAATAAACACTCACATCCTTTCACCTTAATGCAGATCATGCAGGGGATACAGCTATCCAGACTCTTACCTTGCAAGATAAAATGTTTCCAAAGGCTGAGAATGTGTCATAAAGAGCTTTGTTATCGATGGATTTGTCCAAATTTTTGATGAAGATGTTGCCCACTCCACTTTTCCTCAGTGATGGATCCCGCTGAGACCACATTATACGAAGAGGCCTTCCTTTGATGACGTCAAAGTTCATGGTGTCCAGGGCTCGCTCAGCTGAGAGGAAACACACACACACAAAGTTAAGTACAAGTACAATTTACTATGTGCCACTGCTGTTCAGGGTGTGTGCAAGTAGCATTCACTACTACAGAAGTGCATTCTTGACATTTTACCAACAGGAATGTAACTAAAACAATTATTTGAAAAAAAAAAAAAGATACAATAGCCAAGAGTGAAGCCAAATATCTGTCCAAAATACAAGTAATACACTTTGATTAATGCGAGTGGATCTGTGTGAATATGATTAAAAGGCATTTCCATCTCCATAGTGCAACACAAAGGTTTAACATTTTAAGTTTGTAAAGTTGGGATAGGGTACTAGAATACAGTAATATCAAAAGAGGATGACACCAAATCTATAATTCAAAGGGTGATTAGGCTACAACACAGTTGATGCTCCCAATATGAGTCTTTGTATGCATTAAATGATGAGCAGACTTTAGTAACGCTCTGACATTAGCCATGCCACAGCATCCACGCCTATTCAAAATGGAGTCTTCCCAATCCCACTTAAGTCAACTGCAGTAGACTTACCGTCCGCGGGCTGCTGAAAGTTCACGTAGGCATATCCCAGGGAGCGGCGGGTGATCATGTCCCTGCACACTCTGATGGAGAGGATCGGGCCGGCTGGGCTGAATTTCTCATACAGCATGGCCTCGGTCACGTCTGGATGCAGATCCCCCACGTAGAGGGAGGCCATGGGGTAACTGGGCGCACTGGGGTTCATGTTTAAACCTCTCGGTTCTCAAACAATGAGACAAATGTTTGAAAAAAAAATATTCGACACCACAAAATGCGGTTATTCCAAGGGTATTTCAACGCAACTGTCTTCTTGAGTTAGCAACGTGCGGCTAGTTAGCTTCAGGCCTTTTCGATACACCTGATGGATGAATGTAAGTACCAAATCGACAATACTAAACAAATAGTTGATGTTTCACAACTGGAATGTTCAAAATATATCTGGAATGGCAAAATCTAAAATGCTTAAATCAATCTTTAAAAATTTCAGCTAAACTATCACCCACGCTTTCAACAATGAGGCTAACTCTTTAGCGGCTAACACTCGATTCCGTTCGTTTTCGAAGGCGGCGTCTTCTTTGCGTTGCTTGAGTTGGCAAATGAAATCCTGCTTCACCGATTTTTTTTTTATTTTTTTCTTATAAAAATATGTCTGCGTCTAGCTTTTGGTTTGTTTCATAATAATAAAATGTGTGCCGAGACTAGCTCCGGAGCACACCCTACGCAGACGGATTACGGGAGCGAAAGGAAGGTCGGCGGAGGTTGCTTCCCGATTCCAGTCGAAGTCTCGGCGCATGTACTACCAAGTCCCGCAAAGACTCGCGAGAAAAATACGATATTGCATAATAACGTCTAACGATAACAAAAAAAAAAAAAAAAAAAAAAAAAAAAAAAGCAACAACAATAATGTAACGCTTCTCTTTGCGCTATCAATTATTTGCTTACATGTTATTAACATCACATAAATAGTTTACAATTTTTTTGTAAATCAGCATTACAACTGCTATCATTAAAAGCATAGAACATATCAGAGGAAACAGATGGATCATGTTTATGGAATTTAAAATCCTACATATGGTTCCTTTAAGTTATATAGGTTAGATTTCTTGCAAAAAAAATAATGGGCTAATTAGAAACCTCCATAAGGCTATATAGACTAAGATGTATAATAAATCCCAATATCTAACTGGTTTGTGCCAATTCCATGCAGAAACTGTAGCCTGTTGTCCAGATTACACTTACCCAATAGTAGGCCTACATCATTCTGGGTTTGCCAGGCAACTTCACTTTTAATCATCACTAATAACCTCCTCATAGCTAGTGATTCTGATTTACTAAACCAATCCATCCTTATCCTCCTCAGTTTAACAGCATATCTATATGGCCTATCTCCCATTCCTCATTGTTCACCATCTCCCAGGCTGCAGTAAATTCATTTAACCTAAATCTCTATCCCCTTCCCCATCTCTGCTGGTGAGCCCCAGGGCTGCTGTCCTAGGTCCCCTCCATTTCATCATTTACTTTCTCCTACTTGTTTTCATCTTTTAAGCCCAACACTTTTGCTTCTGCCCAGACTGCATTGTAAAACCTAAAAATTAAGATTTTGCCTTCATCACAAGTGTAATAATCCCCCATGATAAACAAAATAAAGTATAACAATGTATTTAATTGTAATGTCTTTACTAGACTGATATTACATGTACTTGAATGGTTTCCAGACAGGCTTATTTTGTGATATGCTGTGCCTGTAATCAGGCCAATCAGTGGCAACTGGTAAATTAAACCCCAGTTCTGTTTTCAGTAATTTGTTTTTTGTTATCCTGCAAGACCTGAAAACCAGAGATGGGTATGCAGAGAAATGCAGGTCACATCCTATGCTGTCCCTACATTACTCTTCATCTTGCAGCCAGCATACCAAAAGCATTCTGCACAACATCTTGGTCATTGCACTCAGGCATCATCTAAAACATGTCTGTAAATCTTCTAATTTCTACAATTATGAAATAAGTCCAGATTTGGTGAGCTTTCTTTATACTTTTATTCTTATTTAAATGAAACATTTTCCCCCAAAACACATAATGCTTTTCAGTGTCCTGTTTTTATCTGTTAACCTGTTACCTCTAGACACAGATAAAGCTAACCAGATAGATGCAACAGTTCCTTAACAAGACCTACTTTCACCACATACAATTAAGAGCCCCCTTTTGCTCAATACTTGTCTTAAATAATTAAAAAGAACCCAATTCTAAAAGGAGAATAACCAAAGAGGAACATGCCAATACAAAAGAGAAATACAAAACGGAGAACTGTTGTCAGTGTAGTCCTGTAGTCGTTTTTGTTCTTTAAATTTACTGTTAATATATGAACATAAATACAGCTGCAGATCTCCCACTAAAACAACAGAAACTAAACATTTGGATAATAGGCAAAATGTAACCTGGGTGGATTAAATCTTAATTTGTGTCACCATTTGTCCGCAACAGTTGCTTGTCTGTCACCTTCACTTATTGCTCAGGTTTAAAAATGTAAAACCGATGTATACCAAAAGTAAAGAAAAGTTGAGACTGTGTATAAATATGCATTTGGTATAACAGTTGAGAATGTCCTCAAATCTAAAATGGTGACAACATTTCCAGCAAAGCAACTTATGACATGAACAGTGACTTAAATGTCCAAGCACTTACTGACCTCAAGTATGCAAATACACTTTCCTTACATATGTCTACGGCTGAAATTTAAATGCAGTAATTTATTGAAATAATTCTCAACCAAAGCTATCATTTTCTAAACTAAACTGTGATATTTGCTGAGAGAAGGGGTTTTATGACGCAGACAGTGCAGTTATAACCCAAAATGACACAACATGTGTGTAATGAATAAAAATGTCTTATTCCTGTCCTTTGCTATGCAAACAACCAAAATAATAATTGCTACAGTGATCATTAGTTACCGCCCTTCATACTTCAAAACGGCCTACAGGAGTTGAGCATTAAATGCCTGAGGACATTGATAACCAAACAGGTCTCCATAAAATGAGCTGGAATGCTGAAAGGCAGGGAGACTATTGTAAACTACTGAAGTCAGAAGATTCACTCATCTCCATCTTCACACTGGTTACCAGAGTTCCACAGCTGAAAAACAATGGTTTGAATTAGTTTAAATAAGCCAATACTTTTTGTTACTAATAAATATTTCACCCAGTGAAAGATGCATTTTTTTGCCATTGAACTCATGAACAACAATCACTTTAAAATAACTCACTTATGCAAATAGAATTTTGCTATAAAATTTAAACCTTTATTGTACCCATCTTCCATTTTTAACAGCAAGAACAATTATTATCCTCTGCACTTTACTGAGCTGCTGTGATGACAAGTGAATCCATTATAACATCAGTACAGTTCTAATTTAAAAAGTGAGCTGGGGAATTTATACAGTAGCACCAGAGTATGGAATAGAGCAGTTATTCAAAACCATCCTTGAAGGTCCCATGGTTGAAAAGGCCAAGAACCCCTTGGAAAAAGTACAGTATTTTCATACAGTGGTATCCTCTGTAGTTTAATCAGTGGATTACATGTCTTTTCTAATGTGAATAAGAATGTGTGAGATTCTGGTGATTGCTTTTGCTTTCATAGGAAACTGGGACATGCTTTGTCTGACAAGATGCAATTTTTTTTTTGTCATTTTGCTCTTCATTATTATATTGTAGTGTGTAAGCTTTGTTTAGTTTCTCAAACAAGTTCCTTGTGGCCATGAAGTTAGTCAAAGTGGCTATAGGTGTTCTGCGGCAAAGACCTTAGACAAGATATTAAAAGGGCCCACATTACGCAATTTTATATGTCGTTTCATCATCAGAAATATACCTAGACTTATGTTTTGTTTCATTCACATGTTTAAACACACAAATCCTGCAGAGTTAGGTTCTTTTCTCAAACAGAAAACCTTATGATGTCATGTAGTAATATGGGAAGTGATCCACTGTGTTTTAAATTTCAAAAACTTCAAACACCTTTACTAGAATCATTTAGATGATTTCAGCCCTAGAATTACCAATCTCTACTGAACAAAAGGTAAAAAGTAGTTGTTAACTTGAAAATGACCGCTTCATGGCATCACAAGGTGGAAAAGAATATTTTGATCTTTAGAACTGTAGAAAAACTAACAAACCAATGTTACTCAAATATGTGTGAATGAAACAAAACCGTACAGGTATGTTTGATGAGGCATCAACATTCTAACATGGCTTAGAGCTAACAAAAATCAATTTATAAGTTGAACCTTTAAACATAAAAAGCATTAATGGGCCACTTACTGCTAAATTGTCTCTCAGAAGCTGCATGATAAGTGTGCTGTCTTTGTAACTGTCATCACTGAGACTGCCTAGTTCTGCAATGGCATCATCAAAAGCCTGTGAAGAACAAAAATGTATTTTTTCAGAACATTGTTGAACAAGAAACAAAAGGTACCATTTACTTTTTTGTAAACAATTGAAAATGCATACCTTTTCAGCCAAACTGCACGCAAGTTCAGCATTGTTGCAGATCTCATATTGGAAAACTGAGTAATTGAGGGCTAGACCAAGACGGATGGGGTCTGTGGGGGGCATCTTTTCAGAGATTTCACAGGCTTTTTTGTAAGCCTCTTCTGATTTTGACTTGCCTAGGAATTAAAATACAACAGTATAATTTCAGATACAAGAGCAACACCCTGCAAAATTATATAGTCAAAAAGTTCAACTGTGGACCATGACAGCGCAACAGCCTACTTAAACTTTGTGTTGCTGTGACATACTTGTCTCCAAGTAGGTAGGAAAGAGCCACTTGTACTGCTAATACTAGCTGCCAACAGAGCTCTGGATGGCAGATTTAAAGTGGAACTAAACACTAAATACATTTTTGTTCTCTACTACACTCTGTAGCCCAAATAGTGTTTTAATAGCATTGTTTACTCTTCCTAATGCTTTCTTTTGGTAATTATTACGGATATAACAACAACTGCAATATTGTGATGTTGTATCATCAAAAGTCTAAGAACAATACCGTGGGCCAAGGGCCATCACAATATATCAAATTAAATTAAACTGAATTCATTGTTATGGTGCAGCAATGGCTATAGAAAAGAACAAACTACATATACCATGATCCTTTGTGTGTGTGTATGTGGTAAAAGTAATAAGACACTCACTGTTATGCTAAAAGTGGCTCATTTGCAGCTGGTTCAAGAGGCAAATATTATATATATACACACACATATATATATATATATATATATATATATATATATATTATATATATATTATATATATATTTATATTTATTTATTTATTAAGAGTTCAAAGTTCGGTGAAATGCTTTTTATAAATGGCAGTGGTAATTAGTTACCACATACAAAAAAGTCTATGGGAAAAAAGTAATGAGAAATTTACTTCCAGAACTGGGGGGTGGCCACTGTTGAGCTCCATTTGAAATGTGGTCGTGGACAGAGTTTAGGTCTTTAGTCCCACTTTAAAAGAAAAGGGGAGGAAAAGAAATTGCTACCGCAATGCTGAGTAATAAAGTTAACCTCACAGTCTGCCTCATCCTGGTTTCAGGTCAGTGTGTACTCTGTGCATGTAAGATGCATTTTTCTTAGCTAAATAAACTCTTGTGTAAGGACACATTAAATAATATGCATTTAAAATACACAGAATAAAAGCTTACTTTCAGTGTCATCTTGTGGTGCCACTTCAGCCAAGTAACGGTGGTAGTCACCTTTCATTTTATAATAAAACACTTGGTCATCATTTACAGCATTAGGAATCAACGGGTCATCCAAGAGATCCTGTCCAAGAAACAATAAAACCATAAATAGAAATGTTACGGGGCAAATATTTTAAGTCTAATCCTGACAAAGAGTTCCACATAACCATCTCAACAGCTTCTTGTTGTAAGAATTAATCATTAGGAAATGTGTCTCACCAAAACTTCTTGGCAAGTCTTCTTCAACTCATTTTCAATTTCCTCCCTGTAGCTTTTAGTTACATTCTTCATATATTCACCAGCTTTGCTTTCCTCATTGGAGATAATTCGCCATGAAGAACGACAAGCACCCACCACATTTTTGTAAGCTACTGAGAACAAGTTTCGCTCTTCTGCACTGAGTTGACTCTTCATCTTTGTGTATTTTTTCATAGTGCTGGCCATGTCCTCATAGCGCTCTGTCTGCTCAGCCAGCTTGGCCATGGAAATCATTTCATTACAGTCAGACATGGTTGCTCTGTAGGGACACAAAAAACCTAAAAATCACATCTATGCAGTGGTTGAAATAGATAAAAGTCAGTCATTAATATTAGATTGTATATAAATAAAAAAGGCTAGTACTCAGAATCCTTAACTAAATATTTGAGAAACATTGCATGCTTTTTTTCTTAGCCGTGCAGGGCAGTCACATCAGATATCTATTGGGTCATTCTGTTCGATATAAAAGCTTTCCTATAATTTTTCACAGACTTAAAATGGACAGACGGACTCATTTATCTAAGAACCGAAAGGTCAAAATTAATTAACCTGAATAACTGATCATTTAGAGCAGTCAGGGTATTGCATGTTTCCTTTGGAGTTTACATTTGTTGAAATTATTTAAGAGGGAATAACTCACACAACAGGGTCCAAAACATCCTCAGTTAAAACGTTTGCAACCCCATTAAAGTAATACAACATAACAGAAATGTATTATGTCTGCACCCCTTTGAAACTCTAATGCACCTTCAGTCAGTTTAGATCTGTATCCGAGCCTGGTCCACAACCACATTTCAGATTGAAAGAAGGAGAGTGGAGAGGGGGGGAGGAGGGTCTGGAGCCAAGTGGTCTAGGGTCTCCACACTCCATGCTCCACCCCTATACCCAGGTGTTCAGGTTCCAGGTGTTTCTCATTACACATAGCACTCGAAATTGTAGTAGTCACTGGCCCACACTGTGATTTTGATCAAAAAGCTGCAAATAGCCTACCTTGTTGGCACACAGTTGAGTAGCAAAAAGTTGATTTCACGTTTAGTTCTACATAATAGGCTACATAAATATAACTCTACAATGTTGCTGTGAACCCTAAAAGCTGAGATGGCCGCGTATTGGTTTTGGTTTTAGGGGCAACTTACTGACGGTTACTGGCCCACTCATCGAAGTACAAGAAGAACATGGACCCACCTCACCAGCGCTAAACAAAACATTTGGTGATTCTACACATTGTCCACCTATGGACAACGCGTGGTATTACACTTCAAGTTACTTCCGCGTTCTGACCATCTGTTTACTTAATACCTGTCTCTGATTAATATGGCTAATATGTCAATATGTATACCTATCAAATGATAAGTAGACATCACAGGTTCACGACGCAAAGTAAATCATTAAAATGTTCACATCAATCAGGACAGTGCAAGCACATGTATAATGAAGGTAATGGCCCGTGTTTTCGCCACCACACCCATGCATACCTGTATATACTAGACCATAAAACTTCTGTACCTTAAGCATTTTACCAACAGATTAAGCTGACTGTACAAAGGAATAAACACTGTTGATGCAGAATGGAAAAAAGCACAGTAAAATGAAGAGCACATTGAAACCGCATGACTAGGAGGCGATTTCCTTAAAAAAAACTGTAATACATTGGTGATGGCAAGTACAACAGCCACTTCGTGAATATGACGATTTAGTTCAGCACAAGCACATGCAAAACTCTGTCAAGAGTCCAGAACTCAACCCTCAATATTTTAAAACAAGTTGCTTTAGCTCGATTATTCGGTTTTAGTTGTTTTTGAGATGGCACGCCTTTCATTAACCCTGGCCAAAACGATAGTGACATTTATTCAACACAGTTGCCCATGCCACTCGATTCTACGCGGCTTATAATGGATCTTTTTCATGCATTTTGGCCTTTTTCCTTACCTAGATGACTAAAATGTTGGAGTCCTCTCCAGCAATGCACCCTGGACTCGTCTGAGTGCAGTCTACGGGATTCTCCTATCTCCTATGTTCGCACCGGTGTCAGCCACGACCTGCACACGTCTATTGTATAGGCTGAGCCTGAGCTAGAGGCATTTCTATGAGTTGGAGGTAGGTGACGTCAAAGGTAACCGTGACAACCGTGTGCTACGGTCTGATGGGAACTGTAGTTTCTACCTACAGCACACGACTAGTTGACTTACTTGAGTAGTCCGTGATTGTATAGGCCTATTTAATATTTCATAAATACGTTCAAATGGAATAGGCCTTTTGTCACTGAATTGAAATTGAAAACATTTAATAGGCCTAGGCCTAAGCAAAGACACGTCGTCCTAGCTCGTTGCCTTTAGCCAGTTAATAGCCTATATTCACGACATTGTGCATGATATTTTGTCAGTAAATTCTTAAAAATTATATTGGATGTTAGTCATTAATTATATATTATATTAGCCTAAATAACAATACTATTAGTTTTCAAGACAGAACTATTATAGGCCTACTAATTAGTTTAAATTAGGTTTCACTATTGATACTTTACAGTGACATCACGCCGATGGGGTTCAACATACATACATACATACATACATACATACATACATACAACATACAAAACATGTTTTAAACAACACATTTTCTGGAGCCTGTGATCTATTGGCTAAGCGTTCATGGTCCTGTTTATGAGTTTGATTTTCAACAGAAAAGTGAGAGTGACTAACTGGAAACTTGTTGGCTAATGCTAGCTAGTTTGTCATTATAATGCTATGAGAGTTGACATGCTATGTGGTGAAATAAAGATCAGATTAAAGTCTAACAAAGCCTCAGACAGAGCGTGTTTATAGTTAACATCACACCCCCAGGAAATGTTGATAACATCAATCTAAGTATCTGTAGTTCTTTAGTTAAAACATCCAGGGATAAGACACCTAAAAACATTCAAATAAACAGACAATGCACGCAGAAATAACTAAAAGCTGTCTATCCTGTCTGGTAGGTTTTCAGCAAGGTTGGTTATCTTGCTGTAATCTGAGAAATTTAATCACACTTGCAACCAGCGATTGTAACGTAAACGCCCCATTCAACTAGTCTTGAGGTACCACCCTTATTTATTATCTTATCTGCTGCAACTGGGCAAGCCAATGCCGAGGCTGATTTTGGAGACAAAATATTGCCATTTACCCAGATTTGTACTATAGATCCCATAAGACTTGACTCTCTCTGGGTACACCCCATGCCTCTCAAAGTGAAACTGGTTAAGTCAGTGATTTGCTTTTAATGAAGCAAAGACTGAGAGTATCTTTTGGTCTTTTGTAGTCATAATTGTAATAATTACAAACTTTGTTGGTCCACAAGGGAAAATATTTGTACAAATTTGAAAATATTTAATTAGACAATTCATACCCTAAACACTACAGAGATCAGTAAATATGTTTACATAGGTAGCCACACAAAAAAAAAATACACGGGTACAATCCTGAGGGTAAATCATTTCCATATCATCAGTACTAATAAAAGACAACAGTGACAAATCATTAAGGTCTGCACAATAGTCAATTAAAATATATTTGGGTCAGGGTTATGTAGCTAAGCCAACCAAGATATAGCTTTAGCCTCTGGCAAGTACTGGTATGTTTCACAGTATAGTATATGGTTGCATGTATAGGTGTCACACTTATGTCTTAATTTGTTTGGGCCAGCATGAATACAGGTTTGGGGCTTTTGGGGACTGAGATAAGGTAATGATGGCAGTGTCCATAGCAGGAAAATAAACATTGCATATGATCACTGGATAGTAGCAAAAGGGGGATGTTTGACCACAGTACAACAATTTCAAGTAGTCCTATATCTTAAAAAGAAGGATAGCTATACATATCCAGGCTCAAACACTGGGCTAACTTTCTCTGTTCGCCAATTCCAGACTCTGGAACAAACTGTTTCCTGATATGAGCATCATCACAGACTTTGGCCTGTCAAATCCAAGCTCAAAACTTATCTATTCAGAATGGCTCAGTAATGCAGTGACACTTTGCACAATATGTTTTATTTCATTGTTTAATGTTTTTGCATGTTTTAATATTGTGTTTATTATTTTGGAAAACACTTTGGTCACCTTGGATGTTGTAAAGGACTCTAGAAATAAAGATCAATTGATTGATTGAAATCCAATGTTTACAAAAATACAAAGCAGCTAAACTAACCATAGATTAAAAGTTATTACCTGCATAAGAAAAGTCTGGTTAGATTGGAATAATCTATCTGAAACATTGCAATTAGTTAAAATTCATCTTCAAGCTGATCCAAATGTCCTACAGATAAAAACAATATTTCTTATATTTCAACATGGGTCAGCTCTGAAGGCACTGGCGCCTTCAGATGTTTGCTCTCTCTAAGTGCTGCTTGAATGTCTTTAGGCCTAGTATTTAAGTCTGAGGAGAACAGACAAGAAAAACAAGACCATTAAAATAATTAGCATTTCTTAAAGTACTGGAGGAAAGATAGGGAAAAAAGTGGTCAAATCTAGTCTGTGCTTTGGCCTTTCCCAGTGTAGCGACAGGTTGACAGGCAGTGACAGGAAGAATACTTTGAACATATATTTATACCTGCAATAAAATTTACTTTGTAACTTATTCTGATACATGGTCCAGTCAGAAAGGCTACTGCATTTACATTATATTATAGTGTTACAGTTATATATACAGAGTTAGGGTTAGGGTATGTGTGGGGCATGTGCGGCATGCCCCTATTTCTGTGTCAAATTTAACGATTCTATGTGCAGGGTCCCTGGTCACTACAGGCGAGTCACGTCGCATCATTTCACTTCCTGGCCACTAGGAGCATCGCTTTGTAATACTAATAGGCCCTTCACCAGCTTCTGACGCTCGGGCCTAACTATGGGACCTAATTACAAACAGCCTGATTATAATTTTTTTATTTTTTATTTTTAATGTTTAATTAGACACAAAATTCGCACATGTATTCAGAGCTGTGTTTTCTTTTTTCCCTCACCAATACTGTGCAGTTCAAAATCAAAATTGAATGATGAAGTACTGTAGTGTTTTTTCTTTGTTTGTTTGTTTTGTTTTGTTGTTGTTTTTTCAGTAAAGTAACTGTATTCTGAATACCACCAGATGAAAGAGTAATCGCAGTGGAATACAGTTACTCAAAATTAGTATTCTCAATATGTATATCTATGCGGTACATGTATCTACTATTATTCAGTGACTTCACTGTTTATAGGCAGGTATGATATTGACGGTCGGCTGTAATACAAACTATCTACCACAAGATGTCATACCATACGAAGGCTACATGACTGACGAAAACACAAAAGCCAGATAGAGGTGTGTGAGGTGTTACAATGCAGGCCACACGTGGATTTTACAGGTTAACTTTATTTTTATAGTAGCCTAAAGGAAACGACGAACAATAAAAGCAATTATTTCTATAACTTAACTTTACATTTAAGATTCGTCGTATAAAAAGACGTCCTCCAATTGTTTAAACCAATTAGAAGCAGAGCGATAAACTTTAAGCCAATCAGCACACAGCACACCTTTCCTCGTTTACAGCCACCACTCGGAGCCGTGTTGGTTCCAATACTAAAGGGCAAATCCACACAGATTGTCATGTGCTGGCTCTGTAGATAATATCCAGACGATTAAAAGTGTGACCTGCACCAAAACTAGAAAGTCCGGTCAAGCAAGTCCCACAAAGCGCCCGCGAGTCCTGCAGCAGCAGCAGCAGCAGCAGCAACATGGACGTGGACAGGTAAGGAAACAATTAAAGGTGTGCTCTTTGCAAATTGAGAAGTTCATTTTGAGGAACTTAAAGATGTTTGAGTCATATATGACTAAGAGTAAATGTTACCTTTTTAAGTAATTTACAGTCACCGCTGTGTGTTATAGTCTACTTAATCGGTCTACTTAATATTAAAAATAGCCTACCATTATTGGGTGTGTTCCTAAAATTACCAAAAATATATAGACCAACTGATGGTGAAAGTTTTAACAGTAGGCTATTAAACCTCAACTCATGTAAATCTTTCAACATGTTACATATTTAACAATGGACATATTTTTAAAATTATGATTTAGGATATCTAAATTATAATTTCAGTTACTTTGGTTTCTTTTATCTCCCAACATAATATGTCTTGTTCCATGTAACACTTGTTTCACTTTATTTTCTTAATTTGTCATTTATTTAACAGAAGGGTATTCTTATTGCTTGTTAGAGTTCAACATAGAGCATGTGAGGGGTGTCATTTAAATTGTGTGTGTATGTAATCTCACGAAAAGGTTGCGCACCTCCCATCATCCCATTGAAGATCATGTTAATTCCTAATGTAAACATTGTCACATGGGACTGGGGCAGGTTTGGTGAGAAACAGCCTGAGGCTGATTTTCTAGCTTGGCAGACATATCTTTTGTTAATGACAGAACAGATTTGCACTAACACAGCTCAATATGTCTTGTGTCTTTCTTCGTATGGGTTTTTCAGTAAACGACTTGTGGTAGTAGTACCAAATGAAGCATCTCCACGACAACTGTTGAGTGGTAGTGATGATGAGGCCTGGAAGAGCTACCTGGAAAACCCACTGACAGCTGCCACCAAAGCCATGATGAGCATTAATGGGGATGACGAGGGTGCTGCAGCTTTGGGCATACTCTACGACTATTACAAGGTACACACATTAGACATATATGCTCTAAAAATGTGGGAGGTCACACTGTTGTGTTTTAGTGTGATGTCACTATTATGTAATTTCAGGCACAATCTGATATCTGAAATAATTTGAAGTTTTTAATGAATTATTTACATAATGAATAAAAAAGGCCATTATTTTAGACAAACTTTTTTGCTGAATGAGTTTGAGTTATTTGAAGTATTTTGCTGTATATCTGAGAGATGTGAAACATACAAATATTGTTTTTACTGAGATGTAAAATATTTTTTTGTCTTCCTTAGTTAATAATGAACATATCATAGCTGCAATCGCTCAACAATAATTTGATAGATTTTTGTTCATTCTTTCCTGTATTTTGAAGTATTTCTTCAACAATAGAGGTGGGCAGAATCCAGTATCTATTTTAATATATTATCTTTTGGTGATTTGATGATTATTTATGCTGTTAAAGCGCTGGATGGCACCAGATAGCTTTACAGAAGATTCAATCAAAGTTGCACTTTATTACTTAGGGCTGAACAAAATGGTGTCCTCCACAAAATATTCCATTATTATCTAAAATAAATTTGGTAAGAGGGAGACTAGACAGTCTGATACAAAAACTCCAGCTTTGTGAAGGTCATAAAAAAGTGTTCAATGAATTCTTTACCACTGCGTAATATAAATTGCGTAAATGGATTATTTGCCCTTAATTTTGATTTATTTATATATTTTTTTGTTTTTCATTTCCAGATTTCTAGAGACAAAAAGACTGCTTACCCCAAACCACCGGTTCTTGATAATTACGACACTCTAGACCAAGCTCTGAACTCCATGCCTGTGAACCTGTCATTACATGATACAGTGACCATAGACCATTCAAAAAAACACTACGGACCTCTGACTGCACCAACACATACACACAGTGGGAAAGACCGAGGTGGAACAGTTTTGGTCAAAGCACAAGCTCAGACTGTCCTTGCAAATGCCTACATAGAAGAACTAAGGGACCCAATAAGAATGCCGTATGAACAAAATAGATATGACAACTTGTTTTCTGGGTACCTGAAAGAAGAACAGAGAAGCACTCCCGACAGTGCTTACGAGGATGAGGTGAGGCCTAGTACAGAGAGTACAGTTTTCTTTTACTCAAGGAGTAATGACTAAATATGTCCACTAATATTTCTACTGACATAATTTTTTTTTTTTAAAAGAAGGGATAAAATTTTTTTCTATGTTTATTAATTTAGGTGTATCAGAACTCTTCTGGGGGAGCCAACCAGTTGCACTACAATGTCTCACAGTAAGATGTCTATTTGAATGCATTTCTTTTATATATATATATATATATATATATATATATATATATATATATATATATATATATATATATATATATATATAGTGTATTGTATTTACATTAAAAGCTTAGGTACCTGAGATTTTTTTTTGATGAGTAAATTTTCCCCTCAAAAAGCATATTGTAAAATCAGCATTTGATGAGGTTGTTTTTTCACTAACAGGGTGAATTTAAATTATTTTAAATTATATTTTTTTGCAGTGATAGCTTCCTGTATTGCCTTGAGGCCAGTATGTCTTTGCGACCACGACATGAAGAAGGTCCAATGGCATATCTGAACCGTGGGCAGTTCTACCCTTTGACCCTGTCTCACACTCAGGGGGTAAAACTCCAGACCAGAGGAGCATCTCCGTCTAGGAATAACCAGGGAGGAGGGGCAGAAGTACAACAGGACAGTGTGGTACAGGTGAGCGGGGCTTGAGTCAGGGGACCATATGCAAAGTAAAGTTTTAGTTCATCCCTACTGACCACCAGAGGCCGGTGCTGAAAACAGTGAATGACTCTGGGAATAATTCACTGCTTTCCAGGATTCATAGAACCGTAGTTATATTTGTATCCATTGTTCTGTGTAAGAATTAAATGATTCAGACCATACAGTCCCAATCATTACATGTAGTAGCTCTAACCATGAGTATGTTTCTGTGTGGCAGGTTTATAAACACTGGAGTTGTTTTTTTGCTTTGGTAAATCTTCTCCTCTTCTTCCTCCTGTTACCTTTTCAGAGTGTCATCATGGTTGTTTTTGGGGAGGACAAGTGCAGAGATGAGCAGCTAAAGAACTGGAAATATTGGCATTCACGACAACACACAGCCAAACAGCGTGTTCTAGATATAGGTAAGAAAAGTAGGAGAGCCAAGGGTAACCTAATGGTGACTCTAGATATCACTGCAGGATATAGACTTGCATACAATACATGTTTTAATGTATTTCGGGTTAATGGCCTATTATTAAAAGGAATATATATTGTCATTTTTTAAAGACCCTGTTAGACATGTTAATATTGAGAAAACACTTGTAAATGTTTGGAAGACAACAAATAACCAATTACATAAAACAATATTGACACTATATTTTATATTTTATATTTTATATTACAACTAACTTCTATTACACCAATTAAAGTCCACTCCACTCTAAAGTTAAAGCATTTTTACATAATTTAAAAAATCTCCAGAAGCTGTCTAAGAAAGTGTAAACAAGAGGCAATCCTTCAAAGGCACTCGTCATCTTATGTGAAAATTCAATTTGAATAACTGTCAGTCCATGATTCCCACAGGATCCATGAGAAGAGGCAGCTACTGAGTTGGCATTTGCATAGACGTTAACAAGAGAGATGGGTGTGGCCTGGATGAGCGCCATCTCCTGAACAATCCCAGGAGACAAGCTCAGACCTGCACTTTTACAGATAGGAGCTTAGCTTCAGGAGAGGGTGTAGAACAGGCCTATTATTATAGAGGAGGAAGGGGTCAAGCAGGTATTGGGTGTAGAGTCTAATTTACATTATATTTTTATTATCATGTCATGAAGGTCTTATGAGTTCTTTTTCATACAGCGGAGCTAATTTACAGTCTCAAGGTTAATTAATCCTGTTATTAAAAGTAATTGGCCAGTAGTTTACTTAACTGTAGTTGTATTAGTCACTGTGTTTTTTCATTGTGTTTCATAACTATAGTGGATCATCTCATTGACTTAAATTATGTATTGTATTTGTATTCTTGTTGTTGCAGCTGACTATAAAGAAAGCTTCAGTACAATTTCCAATGTTGAGGAAATCGCCTACAACGCAGTCTCCTTCACGTGGGACGTCACAGAAGAAGCCAAGGTGAAGTCAACTGTTATATCCTTGGGCTTACCAAAACAAAACTAACAAACATTATTCACTCCCATCCTTTTGTCCATTCTTACTGAGGGGCTGAGGGCACCACATTTGTTTTGAGATAGTTGAAAAAGCAGACAAAAACTACAATCACCAAACCAAAATAAACAGGAGCTTTTGTGTTTACGTAAAGTGGTAAATGTGGCTGTGCATGTTTGCTGATGAATATTTACTGTGCGGACACAAATGGATTAGAAAGGGCTTTCAGGATGTAAGAACTGTGGTGTAACTAGAAACGAGATGCACACATTATTATTATTATTATTATTATTATTATTATTATTATTACTATTGTCTGTAAAGTGCGTGTTCATAAAAACGATGCAAAAAATGAAATTTCCTCAGTGATTATTTTTAGTTTAAAGGGCTCATATTACTCTATTTCCTAATCTATGTTATTATAATGTTTCCTCATCAAAAACATGTCTGGAGTTAGCTCTCAGTTCTTCTCTCAAACTGAAAACACTCACCTTGTGATGTCTTGTGAAAATACAGAAAGTGGTCCACTGTGTTTTTAAAACTTTAGGATAATTTCAGTCCTGGAATTGCCAGTCTCTACTGTAGTAAAGGTAAAAGATAGCTGTTAGTGTGATGACGAGATCTTTGCAACATCACAAGGTGGAACGGAGCATTTTGATCTTTGGAGATGTAGACAGACTAATAATAAAAGGATTACTCAAACACTTGTGAATGGAACAAAATACAACTTCATGTATGTTTTTGAGGAAGGAACTGCATTCTAACATGACTTAAAACTCAGAAGTCAACTTTGCGTAATATAGGATGTTTAATTTAGATTGTAAATTTTTTTCAGTGCTGATGTAACATGTGAATGTAAAATTTTAGGCGTTATTTAAATATGGACTATTTGTTGAATTTATTGGGTTATATTGCATTATTGTTCCTGTTTTGTCATTCTTTCCATCCTATCAAACTCTTTGATGACTGACTTAAATTACAGTTTGTGTGTTTTTTGTTTTTTTTTTGGTTTTTTTTACTGTTGCTAGGCATTGCTTCTCATCCTCTACACATAGTTTAGTGATTGCGTTTTACATTAGCTGCTTCCTGGATCCTGCCTTTCTGTTTGTTTGTCCCAGGTAGCACAACACTTCACTGTGCCCCTATGAACTCATTTACTTTCACAACAGCATTTTGAAGGATTTCACATTCACACAAATGTAACACATTTTCCACTCGCTTACAGAGGCTACTGCAAGCAGTCTACAGCAGTCTATGGAGGTAGTGTAGGTGGATTTTGTGCTTGGGGCTTTTCAAACCAATTGCGATTGTTGCGGGTTTAGACACGACCGAGTGCAGTGGGAAAATAGCTGTTCGTTGTTGATGAGGAAAGTCTACCGTTATACCAGGACCTGTTGTTGGAGTTGTCAATCCTGTTTAACTGGTATAGTTTACATTGGTGATATTGGTTTGTCATAATTGTTCGTGGGAATGTGTTGGGTCACATATTAATGTGAGAGAATAACATAATTATTTGTAATTATTTGTTTTTTTTATGTGTGCGTGTATATAAAAGGTGAAGCAAGTTTTTCATAAATACCATCTTTTGCCTGTATGGACTTGATCTAAAGTGAACTGAAGTATTTCCTCAGTAGATGTAAAACAAAACTCATTCATAAACACAATTTAAAATAAAAATCTGCAATTTAAGTTTAGTTTAGTCTTTATTTGACAATACACAAACTAGAGACATTAAACACATAAAAAAGAGATGTTCCGCATTTTTTAACATACTGGCATAATAGTTGATAAATGATAAATACAATACAAATTATTATAGAATTCAGATATATTGCAGCAACACAATGACATATTCTCTAAACACACCCTGTTCTTTATCTGGCAGGTGTTTATTTCAGTCAACTGCCTGAGCACAGACTTCTCATCACAAAAAGGCGTTAAAGGGACTCCATTGAAAATCCAGATCGACACATACAGCTACAATGGATCCAACCGGAAACCCATCCACCGGGCATTCACGGAGATCAAGGTCTTCTGTGATAAGGTGCAGATTTAAACCATGATTAGACCTGTCACGATAAAAACTATACACCTTGTGATGTCACGTGGTAATACAGGAAGTGCTCAATTGTGTTTTTACTCCATACACTTTCATTAGAAAGTGGATTTCATTTGGATAATTTCAGCTCTGGAATTTCCAATCTATATTAAATAAATTAAATAACATATGTGAATGAAACAAAACACAACTCCAGGTGTTTTTGAGAAAGTAACAGTATTATAACATCTCTTTAAAACTGACAAGTCAATTTTATATAGGACCTTTAATGATTTTATTGATTAAAATTGTTTACTGAGATCATTGCTTTTTTGTTATTGATATTTCTCAGAATTATGCTTAAAATTTTATTATCGTGACAGGCCTAGACATGATCTCTGTAAATGAAAAAAACAGTAATGCGGTTCTCTAATGCACATGGAGGTGATGTTTAGATGGGTGTGCATATTTCTGTTGTCATGGAGACTTATGCTTTATGTGACAGGGTGCAGAGAGAAAGCTTCGCGATGAAGAGAAAAAGCAGCTCCGAAAAAGGACAAAGGGTGAGTTGTTTAGTCATGTCTTCTACAGTGTGCTATAGTGGTTATGTCACAGTTACAGGAGGACAATATTGATTCAAATCTTATCTTCAAATGCAAAAATGTATAAATATTGCAGTGAAATCATGCTGGGGGGACTCTACATGTATGTCTTTGTAGTGGAATGTCAGAAAAAGTTTTTAGTTTTTTTTCTGAAAACTTAAGAAAAAATACAAAATGGATTTAAACAACACATTTTCAGGAGTGTGTGATCAGTACGAGCGTTCATGGTCCTATTTAAGTGTTTTATTTTCAACAACAAAGTGAGAGAAAAACTTTTGGCTAATGCTAGCTGAATTTTTTTGATTTGTGAGGAACTTGTTTAGCAGCACACATCAACTTATCTGTTGTTCTTCCAGCTAAGCCAGTTCTTTATGGTCATTTTGTGTGAAAATAAAGCTCAGATTAAAGTCTAAATTATCAGAGCTTCAGACAGAGCAGTGCCAGCAGTTAGCTTCACACTCCCAGCGAATGTTGATGACATCAGCTGCAGTACAGTATCAATAGTCTAATATAACTTTACTTTTCTGTAAGTTACATTATGGTAATACAGTAATCCTTACATTTTAAACTCATAAAGCAGTGACTACATATAAGAAAAGGATTAAAACTTAAAGTCAGCCCATATGTTACCCAGTTGTGTCTATGAGAGAATGTCAAAATTTTTAGTTTATTAAAAATGCAGCATGTTTCTTACAGTGTAACAAACTTTGCTTCAGGTAAAAGTGGCAGTTGTATGTCTCAGGCTCCAGTGAAGAGATCTGACACGACTGTATTGAAACCTGAGCAGGATCTGGACTCCCAGCCGGTCCTGTTCATCCCGGACGCCCACTTTGGTAACCTGCAGCGGTCGGGACAGGTTAGACACACAGATCACACTCGCACAAATATTTTTCACTAACCTAAAATAATTGAATGTAATATCTTGTATTTAACTTGCATCATTTTGACTCCTAGGTTTTCGCTTTTAACACAGAAGAAGTTGAAAGTGACGGGTAAGTGGAAAAATAAAGCTTTTATTTTGACATACCAGTGTACATTGTGTTTCTGTTCTTTGTGCAGGAGTGTGAAGATGAGGAGAATCTCGTGTGTTTCAGAGGAGGACCTTTGCCCGCCACAGATGAAGAGGCCCAAACTTGAACCAGAAAAAAGAGGTTTGAAAAGCTCATATTTCAAAGCACTTTACCCCTATGTTATTACCGGTATCTACAGAAAATGGTAAACCATTGAAGTTACTTGGTTAGATGTTGTTTCTTGTAAAAAAAAAAAAAAAAACCAAAAAAACAAAAAAAGGTGTAAAATGTGTATTGTTTTGATTTCTTTTTCTTAGTCCTTTTGTATGTGAGGAAAGAGAGTGATGAAGTTTTTGATGCTTTGATGTTGCGGACACCAACTCTTAAAGCACTCATGGAAGCAGTAAGTACAGTAAGCTATCAATAATGCCTTTACATTAGTTTATGGCCAATATTATCAGGATCTTATGTTTCTCACAGATATCAGAGAAATATGCCGTGCCCATTGACAAAATGGCAAAGGTATACCAGAAAAGCAAAAAAGGGTGAGTGAATTTCAAGTTACAGTGTTATGGCTCCACCCAGAGCAATGTGTTCTGACTTTATGTTCAGACTAAATATGTAATGTGACATTAAAACAATATGACCAAATTATGCAACAGAAAGTACCTGAGTTTATTCAAATAAATGAGTGATTCACTAAAAATTCTTGAAATATGTGCATAATTACTACAGTTTTATCAACTTATATACCCTATATTGTGATGTTTTTGCATAATCCATTATATAGATAATATATTAAAGATAAGTACATTATTAGTCAAATAACACATCTTTAATTTTTATCTACTTTGAATTACTTTTTGTCCATACATTTCATACACCATTTAAAACAGTTTAGTTTGTCTCTTTACAGGGTCCTGGTGAACATGGATGACAACATTATCCAACACTACTCCAATGAAGACACCTTCATTTTGGCCATAGAGGCGTCTGCAGATTCACTACGAGTCACTCTCTCTGAGATATGACTCTGATGTCCTGTTAGCTCTGCCAGAACCACTGCCTCTCAAGTCTCAAGGCCAATGGTCACACAATCCTTCATATGGGACTCAAAGGGTTTATTTATTGCATGAAATCACAAGAAGTGAGTTTTGAAGGTGGCTTCAAACTCCTTGCTTTTGTGATTATTTTTTAATTGCATTCAAAGTGTGTTCAGAAAGGATTTTATAGGAAAAATGCCCCTGTTATGACAATTGACCACACATTTTATGACCCCTTGTGGCTGGATTTGGAAATAATGTAAAGCCCGAACCCCCAAAATCTCAGTCTCATTCATTTTCTTCACACACATCAGAGAATGTCTTGTACCATATTGTATATTTTGCATTAAAAGTAGGCCCAGGTTTTCTTGGTAGTGCCCTTTATTCAGTGAGATGTTGGCCTATTGTGCCACTGTGAAGTAGCATTTGTGACTGTATGAGATGTCTTTAAGAGTCCTGGATGTGGCTAAACTGCGTGGCTTCATCACTTTGTTGATTGCGGTCTTCTTCTGAGTGACAAAAATCAGTCATGGCATGATTGTAAGGACTCATAACTGGTCCAGCAATATTCAGTGTTGTTTCCACTGATTTTTATGCTCCATTTCAAGTCTGCTGTAATGTACAGTTTTTAAATTGGTAAATAAATATACTTTTGTATAATGTCACTCATCTGTGCTTTTTTGTGATTTAAATTCACTACAAACTCACCCACAGCCCCTTTTTTACCATTAAACCTTTAAGAGAGTTGTGTAGTCACATTTTATGCAGTTGTCTCTTCTAAATATTGACCTATGCTGGAGATTGAAGGCTGATGGCAGATACACTAAAAAGTAAAAATAGTGGGCCCGTATATCAGACTCTCTCTAGTTTTGAGTATAATGTTTGTGGTTTCTAAATGTACAGAAAATGGCCACTATAGAAAATAGTCCCATGTGGCTGTTCCTTTTATTTATACTACAAACTATTTGCTATAATAGTATTTGTTCTGCAGGAACACAGTGTAAAGAAAAGTGAAGTTGATGAGCTGTAGTTAAGACATCAGTTTGTCTTGCACACAAAGATGTAAATTTATTTCTTGCCTTATTCAATTTGGACCAAAAGACAGTCCTGTGTTTTGAAAAGACAGCCATCACTAAATAATACAGGATACAAAACCTACAAAATGCAACAATTACAAACATTTTGTTCAACATTTAACAATTGTACAGTATAAATTTATACAATACTGTTCTTGTATTAATTTGGCACTTTACCACAAGATGCTGTTTTGCATTTGACAGAAATGTTACACCTGACGTTTAATAAAAATAATAAAAATACAATAAAAGCAATTTCATTTTAGTAATTACTCTGTGTGTCTTTTCTTTCGTTACAAAACTAAACAGTAGTTTATTTCATAAAACATTCAAAGCATTTCTATCTGGAAAAACAACACTCGGTACATTCAGGGTTGGACCTAATTATACAGAATGACAAGAGTCTGTTCTCTTTGGAAACGGTGACGTAAAAGTAATATAAGCATGTGGGCACTTTCACTGTTGTGTGTCTGAAAATGTTTAAATACATATGTACAGGCATATGCTTAGATTCTCAACTGGTGAGATAGGGTCCCCTAAAGTGTGGCATGGTTTGTTGATATGAAATTATAATAGAAAGACTGTAAAACAATTATGTACACAAACTCAAAAATGATGGGGCAATCTGTAAAATATCTTTAACATGTGTTACTGCTAGAAAAAAATTCTTAAAAACAATAGAAGTTAACATTTAATTCATTTAAATACATTTTACACAATCAAAGATTATGTCATTATGTTACTATGGTTACAGATAAAGATTCCTGACCCTGAAATGACACCAATTGAGAATCACTATGCATTTTCAATGGTATTTCTTCCACTTTATTTCTAAAACCAAATTGATATGGTCAGCTTTGGCAGTGACTACAATACTGACTACATTACACACACTAGTTAGAATAAAGCAATGGAGACTGGCCTTTTGTAAACATGCGGATAGTCATGCATATGTGTCTGAAGTCTATAGTTCTGTTCTTAAGATAATGGCATTGGTGCAGTTGAAAATACATTGTGAAAAGTTGTGCTTTGAATGTCTGCAGTAGCAACAGTTTACAGCATATGATAGTAGTAAAATATTACTTTTTCAGTAGATCAATTCAAGTGTCTTTATACTTAAAGTTAATTAAAGAACCTTTTGTAACACATTTGTCAAAAGTAGACGAATGATAAAAACTCAATATTTCATTTTGTTTGATGATTTGGGGACTGATTCACCACTCTGTTCAAACATCAGAATACTTTTCAAATGGAAAATACTATAGCTGTGTATTAGTAGACACTTTGAATTGAACTACGGACAGATTTTAAAATGACAAGTCTTCTATTTCTTAAAGCGATGTGATGAGTTTCCACTGAAAAGAAAAGAAAAGGTTGTGAAGAATAAAAATACAATTGATACTGATAAGAGAGCATATGCATAGTAGCATTATAGTACGTATACATATCTTTTTGTCCCAGCACAAAATATGCACCAAGTCTATCAAGTTTGCAAAAAAATACACCAGACACATTATCACAGTAGAAAAGAAGGATAAGCAATACTGAGTGAAGGGAGGCTCTTCACAAGTCCACTTATAAAATAGTTCTGCCTTAACCATCATTTGGTTTCTGTCTCTCGCCCACTATGATACACTGTAGGAGTGATAGGGGAGCACTGTAGTTCCCTTTACAGCCACTAGGGGCACAGAGAACCACACAAAGACATTAATACACACACTCCAGTTTGTACTATTTACAACTTAGTTAAAGTCCACTGTCTGGAGGAGGAGGACTTAGAGAGAACTTAGAATACTTAAAGGAAGAAACTGTTCATATCCAGCTTCTGTTCTGGGTGGGAGGGGTCAATATTAACAGGGCCAAGGGGTCACTGGGTTGTGGTTTTACAGTAATGAGGAGAGGCCTATAGCCAATAGTAGAAGTCCTCAGTGCATAACTCCTCGTTCTTTCACTTCAGCTGCATTCTTCATCATCTTCGTCATTATCATCATCGGCTCCAGCGAAGGAGGGTCATGGTTCAAGAGAAACCCGAGGAAGCAACTGTAAAGAAACATGAATTTAATTACGATGTAGGAGAAACTGAGTAGGCTAGTTACAAAACATGATATATTGCTACAGGTATAAAATGCAATAAACGTATCAAGATTATAGCATTAAACCCAGGCTTTAATATACAGAATTATTAAAAAGAGTGGGAACAACTAAATGGCAAAATGAAGCAATAATTAGCCAAAAAAGTGACTTGTTCAAGCGTCTACATCTCAAATTATATTATATTACAACTAAAATAATAAAAATTTCCACACTATTGTAAAGAAAATCGACACGCGATAAATATTAAGACCCTTCATATATTGATCCAGCTGTCATTTATTTAATGATATGCTGATATATAATTATAATTACAGGTCTATTTGTGGGCTGCATAACTGAACATTTTGCCCTAGTGTAAAAAAGATTAGACTAACTAAACGTTATTCCTTTAAAGTTAGCAAAAGTTAAGTTTATTTTAACAAAAAGTTTTACATAAGCAACAATAAGAGAAGAAGAGGAGAACACTTGTCAAAGCCCACATACAGAGACTTTAAAAGACAAAGAAACACCTCCGGCCACCTACATCATCTCCAATGTCAGTTCACTAAACAAAAAGATGACCCATCCCACATCCTGCACGCTCCTCACACGCACTGAAAAACTAGTCCTTTCCTTGAATCTTGAATACTTTTTGTTTTTCCAGTTCAACTGCAGCTGTTTCTTGTACTAACAATTTCCCCAGTGGAACAAGTCTTCAAGTATAAATTCAGATAATCCTTGTCACTATTTGTCAGTACAATTTTGGCTGTATTTGTTCATATGTGATGTTGTGGTGAATATAAATTAGAAAGTTAAATTAAGTCTCTACTTCAGCACAGTTATGAGGAAATATTACATACACGTCAGTCAGCTAAAACCACAAAAAAACAAATACACAAGAATGAATTTGTATGGACTAAAGTGTTAGTATTAACTTCACAGTGGAAGTTAAAATTACTTAAAATATCAAAATTCTGCACACCGGGTCAATCGGTGAATGTCCATTTGATCAAGTATCCACTTTTAAATTTAGAATGTATTTATACGATATCTAAAATTTTACTATGGTGGCAGTAGAAATCCATTTGAATCAAATATGTTTTGCAGATTTTGAGCGAATGTGCAACAATTAAAAATAATGAAAGTATCAATATTTAGAATACATAACACACTTGATTTGGAAAAATGCCATGTTTTACAGTGTGTATCTGCCACTATTGTTTTTGTCTTTGTTTACCCCTCTGGTGGTTGTGTTCTCTGGTGTTATTGAGGCAGGTATGGGCGGATGTGTTTGTGTTGTAGGAGCAGAGAGAGAGGAGCCTTACAGAGTTTGTTGATGCCTCTGGTCTAAAACTGCCCCGCGCTGCTGGGGTCACACTGCAGCAGACGCACGATGGACGGGTCACTCTTCGCCCCTTTAATGAACTCCTCTAGAGACAATTTACCTGCAACATAGGGGGTTAGGTTTATGTTAAAAAACAGATTGGAAACACAAGCTCAAAGTGCACCATGAGACATTCAAAACAACCACATGAACATGGACACACACACAGAGACAGTTTGAGATCATGTCATTTTAGCTTTTGTTTCTATTGTTCTAAAAAAATTATATGATTGAACCATAGTGACGTAGATCATTTTGGTGTTTTCATTTCTTGTAAATAAAACTGGACAATTAGTAAACTTTGTGGTTACTACTACTCTTCACCAACAGATGGCAGCACTGACATTTCTTCTGTAACAGACCACTCTAACAAACCAGTCCATTTGTGTGTTCCTGTTATTTAAAACAAACAAAATCCCCTTTCTTCCTCCACTGGCCCCTGCCCTTTAACTACAGGAATAATGTCTTTGAAAACTAAATAATTCTCAGTTGCTTTAAGTAGAAATGACATGTAATCAGATATTATTACCTCCTAAGTTCTATTGAAATATATGTTTACATATGTAATCTTCATTATTGAATAAAAAAGCTTTAAGGCCCACATCACTACATGACTGTGACCTGTATGTCTTATTGGTTATAAAAACAACAATAACAACTTGTGTCTGGTGTGAATAGTGAGAGTTGAATGGATGCTTGAATCTCGAGGGCTCTCACTAAACCCCTGTGATGGAAAACCAGGTTTGTTTGAATAGCGGCCAGACAACCAGGTGGCACTGGCACTGACAAGCAACTCATAAAAACATTTGTAATTTAAATAACTGGTGCATCTCATTTTACAAATCCGCTGATCAAACGGACAATGACAATAGTTCTGTGTGCACACGGATTTCATATACAGGCACTTAGATTGTACTTAATAGTAAGAAGTACGTAGTAGTGAGTGTGGATAGGCTTCTCAATGAGCTCAAGTGTTCAATAATACATTTTCAATCATATTTACGGTTTTATTCCACGCATCAGTATTATATTTCATAATTTACTATAACAACTAAAAATATTATCCAACTACGCAAGACATTAAATTATCGACAGACAGAAATAGACAGAAGAAGAAACTGAGCAGTTAAATATATAGGCACCAGTGTTGTCATGATAGTAAAATATTAAACTCAATTTTTTGTAATATTAAACTGGATATCACTTTTTCAACAATATCAACAGTTCAAATATACACTAAATCAAAAGACACAGAAAGACATAATGTTGTTGCTATATAGAGTGCCATCTATAGTGCGTGTACATTGGTGCATTGGTGTATTGAAATCCCACCGTCTCTATTAGTATCCATTTGCCTAAAGATCTTCTCCGTCCTCTTCTCAGGTGTTGATTCATCTTCTGGCATCTTCATCACTGAGGACACCATCTTGTAGATCGCCTGTACAAGAAGAAATCATTTTAATTTCCTATTCTTCTGTCAACTGAGTTTAATTCAGAAAATCATCAGGCAAATATGTATATGTTTATTTATTTTTAATGCAAGTTAAGACTATTTTTTTTGTTTTGTTTTGGTAAGTGAGAAAAATGTTCAGTATATTTAAAATTATACAGACTATCTCCAGTCATTAGAATATCATAGACATATAAAAAAGAAAAATACAAATACTGCATAACATTTGAATTGCTTGTCTATTGGATTTTAGGCACAAAATAAAATAAATGAAGAATATGAATGGCTACATTAGGGTGGCCGATGAGAAAAGATTATTAAGGGATTTCAAAATCACAAAAAGGTGTATTAATGTGCATTGTTCACTCTTTTTATTGCACACTCTTCACTATGGCTCAACAAACTGGCTCAGGTACATGTGTCACGTGTCCTTTCTCTAACTAGTTTCATCACACAAAGCAATGCTGGACTGACTCAGCAAACAGGAATAACATTATATTGTTAAAACTAGTGATACACCAAGCTGATACTGGTTTTGCCAAATATCGGTTCAGTCGATATCTTGGTTGAGCCTATGAATTGATGGAATAAGATCGTAGTGGACCCTGAAAGTGCCATAATGTTTTAACTTTTATTTATGGTTGTTCTGTTGTTATTTGAGAGATAAATAACAGCTACATAACACATTTGGATCAGTTTTGTCGTATGTGATTTTTGTTTAAAGGAAATATATCCTCTACACTGGTATTTGTTAATATCAAGCATCAGCAGATACTTTATCCTATCGTATCAGAATCAGTATCGGTGCATTCCTAGTTAAAACCATTAACACAAGTTTTCATTCAGTAGTAATCCAAACTTCTTCAGAACATTTTAACTTCACTTTACTTCAAACTCTACAGTGTTATTTGTTCGCTCTCCTGTGGCCCTCAGACACATCGACTGCATCCACCCTGCAGCTGCTCACCTCCCACTGCTCCCTCCCATAGACCTGCCCCTTTCTGAGACCTTTCGGCTGTTTCCCTGCGTCTGATTCACCAACACACACACACATCACCACCAAGTCTTCACACAGGCAACTTACAGGGACTAAATAGGGTTTGGTGTTAAAGTGGGAAGCAGCAACACAAGAACGAAATACATGATCTCCTGCAGAGCTGAAAGAGACACAAACTGCATGAGGCGAGAAGAGGAAAATACTAAAGGATATACCTGCAAAACTGTGGGAGACTCGACATAGGTATATATAGTCTAGTACGCCAATGGACAGACTGCTATGGATTAGAAATAACAAGGCCTGTCATGATAAATATTATATTGACTTATACATGACAGATGGAACAATAGTTTTTTGGGGTCAATATTTATCATGGGTACTTTTCTTAGCATTAGTGAGAATTTTTTGATTGTTATTGTTTTTGCAATGCAATAAGATTTGAGCTGTAGAGAATTGAATTGATAACATTATATAAATACAAACTGAAATGAATAATTCTGCTATTTATTTATAACAGCTCATACATTTTAGTTAGTTAGAATAGTTTTTGGGGGATAATTCTACTTTCAGGATTATTGTGTCAGTGGCATAAATTAGATGCTATATTATCAATTATTGTGTATATTTACATCCACTATATATCTTACTTCAAAATGTGATAGGTGATATAGTAACTACAGTTTTCATAAGACCAGTGTAGTGGAGATCAAAAATAAATTACAAAGAAGACACATGCTACAGACAGCTGGGAATGCCAAGCTGCCCTTTTCAATATAAAATGACAAAGGGGAGGATAAGAATAATGACACATAATAATGGGGAAAGTCACCATAAAGACATCACAATAGAACCTGGGACCTCAAAGAAGGTAACTCCCTAATCATATATAGTCACTGGTCTGGTCTTAGTTATATTAACCGATACCAGTGTAGGGACAGGAAATGGCACAACTTATTACACAAGAGATCCAGTTATGTTATACATCTATTATTTATCTTTCCGATAACTACTGAACAGATTTTTATGAATGAAAGTAGAAACATTATGAGACACTGTAGGTCAAAATCAGCTTGTAAATAATCTTATTTCATTCACTTAAAAGGCCCAAGGATATCAGCTCAACATATATATGTCAATGTCAACGTCAAATTTATTTATAAAGCACATTTAAAACAACCACCAGTGACCAAAGTGCTGCACAGGTAAGTGTATACACAACAAGATAATACAATGGTAAAAATGCACAAAAAATACAGTAGGATATTAAAGTTTAAAGATGATCTGGTGTACCTTGAATTAAAAGCCAAAGCATATAACTGATACCTTTTCCAGCTAATTTTTCAGTACCTCCGCTGATATTTGATTCCATAATTGTTACTGGTGCATCCCTAGTCTCATTAAGCAAACATCTAGACAAACCTGTACTCATCAAACTTACAGTGGTGTTCAACAAAGCAAATCAAGCATCAGAATACACATGTGCGACAGGGGCTACAGCCGTCTCCCACTTATCTAAAGATTTGATATTGGCTCCTGTCAGTGCATACAGTCTATGAGCTCCCTGGAAAGACACTTCATCTCTCTTTCCAACAGTGTCTGCATATATAACTGTGTTCATGGGAGAGTGGTTCTTTGATGTAAAGCTGTTTGAGTGTCCAAGTGGGGTAAAAAGTGACCATTTACTATTTACAAGAACATTTTTAGATTCTGTAGTCTGTGAGTCATTTAGTCGGTTAACAGCAGAAAAGAGAAGTAAGTGAGGTACTTTTTTGGTAAGGCATTATTAAGATTTACAAGTATAATTTGTCCTGATATAAATATGTTTCCTAGTACTTTTTTCTGTATAAATAGTTGTTTTGCATGAACTCCTGTGCATGAACTTCTGTGCATGTAGTCTTGTGAGTGCAGTTTGGGTCAGATACATAGAGATATGGACAGTGTTGAGAGCCTTTGCCAAATCCCCCCTTTTTATAGTCGACGAATTAATTGGCAAGACATGTCTTTAATCAACTACAGCCCTAATTGCCATGAAATAGTGGAGTTACATCAGAGAAAGTCTGATCAGAATTTATTGATCAGACTTTGAATGTGTATTGAATACACATTCAATATTTCCCTGTAGCCGTAACTGGATGAATAATATATTAGAGTTTTAAAAATACAGAAAAATATAGTAATAGTTTTAAAATATATATTCATGATTAGGGGTGGAATAATCCTTTTTTTTATTTGGATTTTTATTGGGCCTCAGAAGAACAAAAACTTAAAAAAAAAAATTATATGCAAAATAAAACTGAACTTGTCAATAAAATAACAAAATTAGCCAACTGCTTTAATGTAGTCAATATGTAATGAGCTATGAGTTTATTGTATTGACTTAATGATTTAGACTACAGCTCTGAATGTTTAATAATTGTAAAAATATTGAAAGGAGCGTGTGGTTTATGATATACTGTACTTGACATACACATCACCAAAAAATCTTTCAGTTTTCTGCATTTATTTATTTAAAGGCTTGACTCCTCCTGACTCCCATGTCTATATCTGCACGTTACTGCCTTGTTATTGGTCTGCCCTCTCCCGACCCCACAGTACTTCAGAAATGCACCGAGAGAGAGTGAAAGCCAAAATAAGCACTATTACGGTGCTACTTCAATGTATGAATGACTGTGCTGTATTTCCACACAAACACCACATAACTCCACTTGAAATAAACAGCACTCAACGTATTGAATCACTCAATATATAGCCTCTAAAGTAAAAAGTGGCGTAAAAAAGGTGGAAGGCTTTCAACTATAGTATATGTGAATGCTCCATTTTATGGAAATAGCAACAGAGGAACATTGGAAAGGGTAGGGATGGGATAAAATGGATAGTTATATACAAACATTTGTGAGTCCACATACAAACAAAGGCTGAAAATAAATTACTGCCACATTATAATGAGGTAAAACAGGTGTAAAAGGGGTAAAGCTGTATTTGAAAAACACTATTTTCATTCAACAAATTTACAGTTTCCACGACATAGACAACAAAACTGCAATAGAAAAGTCACAGAGAGTAACTACGCAGCTAAATGATAGTGATAATAATTTTCTATAAACACAGCTATTATATTTGATACTCAATGATCCCAACAGAAGGACACAAATGACAGTGACTCACACCTAATGCATTTTGGTGCTTGAAAGAGAGAGAAAGAGAAAGAGAGAGTGAGCGATAGAGAGGAGAGAAAGACAGAGAGAGGGACAAAGAGAGAGAGAGATGACATGAGTGAATCACGGCTGTACTGAGAGATCTGGAGATTCATTTAACCTTGATCTAAAGAGACGTAGGCAGATAGGACAGATACAATTGAGATGGTGAAAGAGTGGAGCAATAATGAACCATGTGCCCATGTAGACTATCTTCCATAAAATCATGGGTGACAGTAAAGGATCTCAACACAAAGCACCTTAATATATGATCTGAAACAAAACTTTCCTTCTTACAAATATTAATTTGTCTAAAAGCATGGCAAATCTGAATGAGACCATCAGTGAGACCTCTGTGTTGACTGTATAGATTAAAGAAGACATATTACACTTTTGTCTGTTATATATCATTGGATGAATCACTATTTCATAATTTGGACACTTTTGAAAACCGTGCACTTGAATAAACATTAATAACTATATCTATTACTATAAACATATATAAATCACTCAGAGTAGAATTTTGAGTGGCTGAATGTGACCTGAATCAGTTGTAACATAGTTAATAGCTTGAAACTGCACAATATCTCCCCTTTAAATAAAACAGTGAAGACAGATGATTTACGGATCATGTTGTAGTGGGGAAACCCTATATCCAGAGGCTGTTGCGTCTGGCCTTGTCAACACAGAGTAACAGACTCTGCTCTTCAGGACTCGTGTTTTTAAAGAGCAGGAGCTGGTTAGTGTAGGAGTCACTGTGTGTACATCAGTGTCATCTGATACTCACTACTGCAGTACAGGCCAGGGGGACACACTTTAAAAAATGAATTATGTCCCACTGTCAGCGGGCAGCTTTCCATAAACATATTTTAGTTTTTTTTTTTTTTTTAGTTTGAAGCCTGGCAAGAATGACTCATGGAAATCTTGGTTCCCACAGTGATACTCATTTCAGGCACCTTTTAAATATACTGTAATCTAATTTGAATTACTTATGAAGCTGTAATTGTCACTATAAGAGTATAGTTATTTCCCCCTAAAATGTTTCACTTTTCACTATATTCTGTCTAGACCAGTGGGTCTGTAGAAAGCTCCTTCAGGTGGTACACTGACTACTCTGCAGTTCAAGTATTTGTTGACTTTAGAGTCCAATTTATCCACATTTCAGTCACTCCTTTGGGTTATTCCTTGTTTATGTTTATATTTATTAGAGCCATTACAGACCTGAGCCTTGGTTCAGAAGACCATTAGGATAGTTTTGTTAACCCAAGCAAACTGATACCTGTGTTTTATTCTATGTTTTCCTTTTTTATTTTTTTACTTCAAAAAACAAAAAGAGAGCCAGGAGTACAAATGTCAGAGCAGAATGAGCAGACATATGCACAGCAGCTCTAAGCAGCAACATTTGGTTCTTAAGCCACACAAGAGTATTTAGAATAGAGAGGGGTAAGAAGAAAGAAATCTTAAAAATCTTGAAATCTATACCCCAGTCTCTCCACCATTAGGCACTCACCTGTACTATCTCGAGCATCTCTGCCTTGCTGATGTAGCCGTTCCCGTCCAGGTCGTACATACTAAAGGCCCACTTCAGCTTCTGCTCCAGTTTCCCACGTGATGTAACGCTCAGGGCTATGATAAACTCCCTGAAGTCTATTGTCCCATCTCCGTTGGCGTCAAAAGTGCGGAAGACGTGTTCGGCGAACTTGGAAGCATCTCCGTAGGGGAAGAAGTTTCCATAGATCTTTTTGAACTCTTCCATCGACAGGTTGCCGCTGGGACAGTCCCGTAGGAAGCCCTTGTACCACTCTTGGATTTCGTGCTCAGTGAAGTCGGTGCTCTCCAGTAGGTCCTGCATGACCTCAGGACGTAGCTTACTGTTCTGCTTCCCCATGGCTCTGGGACAAGGAGGCCAGCGAGGAGGAGAAGGCTCACAGCTGGAGGAAGAACAGAGAGAGGAGAGAAGGTAAGTAAACAAGCTGATAGCAAAATGTACTCAAAGGGGGGCAACAAATCAGTGTTGTGAAAAATACAACAATTATCACCTCCAAAATATTTTATTAATCACATTTTAATCGAGATAGAGATTCAGTAATTTTAATCGAGAGATCCACGGACAGTCCTCTGTCAGGAAAAGCATGTGGTTTGGACTGGAGAAATTTGACTACTTTTTCTGATGAATGGCAATGATTACAGATGAGTTGCAATGAGTTGTTCAGGTTCAGGAAATTACTATTGAAGGCATCTGAAGACAATAAAACTTAAATCAAAAATTGAGAAAAATTAATCACAGATTCTGCGTTAAAGGTGTTAAACCATGCAAAACAAATTCAAGGATAAAATAGCTTTCTGTAGAAGTAAGTCAACATTTTAAAAAATCTCAGTTAGCAACCCAAGATAAATAAAATAAGAAAACTGTAATAGAAACGGTTGCTAAATGGAATCAAACTGAAAATCTCTATACACCTGGACACAGATTATGTGTTATGGTAAAGGAGAAAGTCATTGTTAAGTTCCCCATTACTTTTCATAGCTTCCTAATAGGCACTCTAAGTCCATGTCAACATAATATCATCACTGGACATTTTACAACAGTTAAAAAGTTAAAACACCATTAAGTGGATTTTGCTTTCTACAGATCTGCTATGTCCTTAAGTAACTTTTTGTAAGCACACTCCTTTCAGACCTGCTTCTCTCAGCTCTGAAAACACTCCCTTTAACAAACTTTCCATGGAAAACAGCAGAGCAACCCAAGTGCCATATGCCCAACATGGATTTAATTGGTCCATAAAATCTCACACACATTATAAATACGTCTGGCTTACTACACAGAGCAGGGCAAGGTGGAGGTTCAACAAACACATTTTAAAGCTTTAGAGAAAAGGGTGATAGCTGTTTAAGTAGTACATCTGGATACACAGAAGACAGAAGATTTTACACATTCTAGAAAGTTTGCATCTGTTTATCTTTCAGTTTTGGGTCAATTTGTACTAAAAATGCAGAGGTACAGATATTTTATAAACAACAGAGGATGAGAAATCGTACAAGCTGTTTTGTGTCAGTGGGTCTGAAAAAACAAAAGGTCCATCATTAATGGTGCACCATGTAACTTTTCGCAAGGTTTCGCAACAATTTATAACCATGGAGATGTTATTTCTTGTCTGGAATGTTCCTTATTATGGTATTACACATATCTATCTCCATTGAAACAAGAAGAGATTCCAAGTTAAGTTACTGGCTAGATCTGTCAAATCAAATCAAATTTATTTGTATAGCACATTTAAAACAGCCAAAGCTTACCAAAGTGCTGAACAATGAAATAAAACATACAATTGACAAAGCAATGACAATAATGTACATATATATATACATATAAATAAATAAAATAACAGCAAGGTGCCAAGATGTCTCTTCCTAACTCTAGGCAAATGCCAGGGAGAAAAGGTATGTTTTGAGCAAGGATTTAAAGTGCTCCAGTGTTTGTGCAGTTTAAATGTGCAATGGCAAAGTGTTCCACAGTCGTGGACCGACCACAGAGAAGAACCTATCGCCTCTGGTCCTCAGCCAGATCTGTGGAGAGGTACATTCGCTTACAGTTAGCATGCATGTAATTTGGGGTCATTTAAATAGCAATGGAATAAAAGCAAGAGAGATAACTTGAACAACAATAATAAAAATACATACTTTATGGTGAAATGTCTCTTATGTATCCCAGTTATGCAATTTCTATTATTCCGTTATTAAGCTGTTTTAGATCAATGCTGAACAATAATAGCATGTGGCATAATAATGTCTTCTTTAAAATACTTGTATTACCAGCACATCAATATAAAGCCAATCCGCATACACTATTTTCATTATTGCATGACATAACGATAATGTATGTCCAGTTTAACAGCGTGAACATGTAAAGCTTTGTTTAAGACGCTCAAATCTCTCTTCAGAACAATTAACTCCTCTCAGCAGAGACTCTTGAGCCTGTCACTATCCTCTCAGCACAGTCTCAGTAACAGCTCTACTTCACTGACCCTGTTACACACATATGCTCATACAGTATATGGCTGTTACTCATACACATACAGACACAGCAACTACGCTCCACTGTAGGTCTTAAATACGGTCATTTAGAGAAGGGGGTGGGTAGTATTGAAAAAGGAATATATATCTTTTAGTATACCATCTGAATATCAGGACAGTGAACCAGAAATACGTGCCAGTACGGTAAATGTGATTGTTTAAGATCAAAGTTTCTCACAAAACATAAATGTACCGAAATTAAATATTACACAGCATTCATTTTAATCTGTATTTTTGGAGCATTTTTAAAAATATTTTGTTACGATATCCTCAGCATTCTTATTTTGCATATTAATAAAACAATAATTGCACTAATATTGTAATGCTTTCAGTGACAGGCTAACTTCATAGTAGTTGTAGACACTAAACGATGACAGGAGCAGAAACTGTGTCAAAATAGAGATTAACACTGCAACTGATTAAAAGCTGAACTGTTAAAGCCATAAATCAAACATATGATAATAAGTGAACAAGGATTTACTTACAAAGCAGGTGCTAAAATTAGAAGCAAGTGATGTTTTTGATTTTAGTTGAAAAGGGTATGCAATGAAAAGAACATCCATTTGTATGTAATCGTATTATTACTCAGTGTTCTGTCTGGTTTTTAGGTTTTGAAAAAAAACAAAAAAACCCAAAAAACATCCAAATGAGTTTGTGATCCTTTCTAATGGCTTAGAAATCTCTTGACTTGTTGTTTTGGATTTGAAGTGATTGTGATGTGCTGACAATAGCAATATGTCTACAAGAGCAACCAGAACTATCTGATATCATTCCAATGTGAAAGAGTATTTACCTTTGCGTAAATACAAACAGTGATTGCTTGGTATTGTAGTTCCTGCCATTATCAAAAGGGATGTGGTATTATATGAAATTGTGTCAGTGTAAAAAATAGAAAAACAATAAATAAATAATAACCATGAGAATTGCAGTAAAAAGAGAGGCTATTACTTTTCATGTTTAGAGCTGCGAATCCTAAGGTCCCTTCATGAGACACATGATACAATATTATCATAATATGGCGATACATATGTTAAGCGTTAAGAACCAAATACTTTTTAGCAACAATATGTGGTTGTGAAAGTTAATATAGCATACGGTACATCTGTTTTAATCATCAAAACAGTGAATATGTCAATGTTGAATTCACAAGTTTTCTTCCACTAAATAAGCAAGACAATTGTCATGCAGTCTCAAAAGAAATGGCTAAAAGATACAAAAAAGTACTCTTGGTGATATATTGGTAAAGCAGAACACAATAATGATACTGTAGCACCAAATCTAGAATCTCGATATATAGAGATTTATTTTGCACGCTGCTAATTCTGTTCATAAAGTTTGATTTAATAACTTTATAGTAGCATATGTTGTATAAGAATAGTATTCCACTAGACAATGTAGATGAAAGAGAACTACAGATTTCTCTGTTGTTCATCAATGTCATAAATGTGACTTGTTGTTAAATTGTAATGTTTCTTCTCACAATAAACAAAATTAGATTATGATGAAGAAAAAACATGTCAAACTTTAAGAATCTCTTTACTGTTGTGTCATTCGGAATTGGACTAGCGTCACAACTTTTATCCAATTTGTCCAAGACTGTGATTTTGTTAGTGATCTATTTTTAGCACATTGGCTGCTGTGCAAGTGTCTCATATCTCTGTGTTGTATTTGGCATTACTGGAGCTTGTTAGGGGTCACACCAGGGCGCTGCAGTATTATGCTGTCAAAAAGCTTTAACATGATCCAAAGAAGGACACTTTGGAATTATGGGGAATTATTCAACTATATCCAATAATCCATACGTTAATCCAATGCCCCTATATGAGCTCTGCCTGTATGTCTGATGCAGCATTCACTAAACATGTGCAAACTGTCAAGCTAACTCTTGAGCTTATATTGCACAAAATCTACTCTAATGAACTTATATCTATGTTGTTACCTCATCAAAAACATACTGGAATTGTGTTTTGTTTCATTCACACATTTGAGTAACCCTTTATTATTAGGCTTTGTCTATATCTCCAAAGCTCAAGATACTTTAATCACAGGATTCTTAGGATTCTTACTATGCACTCTATAGTGCACTAAGTAGTGCCCTATAGGGCACGGGCAGAACATAAGGGCATCCACCAGTCAACACTCACGGCTTTCTTCTTATATCAGCAATTTTGTACTATCTGCAAGTGAAATTCTTAGTAAATGTTATTGCATATGATTACTGAGAAATAATGGAACAGCAAATGGTACACTCAAAGCAAGCCATGGCCCTAATCTACATATATACGGTACATTTATGTATAAGGTGAAAAGGGAAGAAGCATGTCCTTATGTAAACATGGTATACAGCTGGTCATGAAAATGCAGAGTACTTTTGGTGTAAGCAGGGTCTGTTGATTCAGGTTGGTTATTTCAAACCTTTTCAAAAGAAAATATAATAATATAAAGAAAAAGTAGTGTAACCTTATATTGTTGGGCATTTATCAACCCTGATTATCAACATTTTCATGGCTTTCAAGCTATGGCAATGGACCTCTATTTCTTAAGCATAAGTTAATTCAAATCAAAATAGGACTTCTTTAAAATCAAGAAGCCCCCAGAGAATCCTTGAACTCTGGAGGGAATCATTTGCCTGAAACCTATGAGTTGGTTTTATTAAATTATTTGTGTGGGAGAAAGACTAAAAAAGAACAGCTTTTCAGTCCAGCTTTAGGCCCAATTTGTCAAGAAAGGCTCTGTCTCTGAATTGTGAATCTATGTGAAAAGAATGAAAAAGCAGATTATAGACTTATCATTAAGGCAAAGTCAAGGATATGTAGGCCTATTTTACACAGTGCATTCTCCCTCAACATAGCCTACAATA